TGGTTAGATTGGTCTCAACTAGGGCCAAGGCCTTTTCAGTACTGGCCCCGACTTGGTGGAACGCTCTGTCACAAGAGACTAGGGCCCTGCGGGACTTGACATCTTTCCGCAGGGCCTGCAAGACAGAGCTGTTCCGCCTGGCCTTTGGTTTGGACTCAGTCTGACCCTTATGTTTCCCTCCCCTTATGGTTTTGATCTATGGGCTACTTTTAAAATGAGGCTGCATTTTAAATGGCATTTTAACCTGTATTTTAGATTGGTTTCCCCACCCCCCCTACTATGTTTTTACTGTAATTTTTACTGTTGTTAGCCTCCCTAAGCCAGACTCTGGCTGGGGAGGGTGGGGTATAAATAAAATTTATTATTATTTATTATTATTACCTTGAGTCAGTGCTACTGCACACAGCACAGGCTTTGGGAAGAAGGCGGGAGGACTCTAGGTCCCTGTCAGAGCCTTCATGCCTCCTTCTCAAAGTCCAGTGCCTCCTTACCCGGCTTTGGGTAGGCAGTGTAAGGGCTGCAGTGAGGAGGTTGTCAAATGTTGCCAAGGGCCCCCAAAAAAGTATTGAGGGCCGCATGCTGCCCTTGGGCCACGTGGTGGACTACTGTGTGCTAGGCCCTAGCAGATAGGGCAGAGTTGTGCCCAGTTGCTGTGTAATTTCTCACATTGTTGAATCAACACCTGGCCCTATCATTAGGTAGAGTGAGGTGGTTGCCTCAGACATAAAAGGCCATAAATTGTATTCGAAACAAAATAAAAAAAATCCTTCCAGGTGTTCTTGTGTGCATGCACACTTCTTCTGAAGTGTATCTGAAGAAGTGTGCATGCACACGAAAGCTCATACCAATAACAACCTTAGTTGGTCTCTAAGGTGCTACTGGAAGGATTTTTTTTATTTTGTTTCGACTACGGCAGACCAACACGGCTACCTACCTGTAAATAAATTGTTTTGTGTGTCATAAAAGGCCATAAATTGTGAAGAAGAAGAAGAAGAAGAAGAAGAAGAAGAAGAAGAAGAAGAAGAAGAAGAAGTTGTTATTATGACTGTTGTTTTACACTTAGAGAGACGCTTTAGGGATTTTCTGTTGCAGGTGCCAAACTTAGAGTCTGATGCAAATGGTCTGCAAGGGCACTATGTGTTGTTCCAACTCAGGCAGCAAAAAGTTGTACTGTAGATTGGCCTTGTTGAATCCCCAAGAACTTCAAAGTTCTCAGCTTGTTGGTAGTCAAGCTGATGGCTTTGCTGGATTATAAGTACATTTCAGTATATTTTCCCCCTTTCCCAAAACAGCTATCATGTTTATGAGATGGCGGGAAAGACATCAAAAGGATATTATCTGAGAGGTGATACGAAGAGTTGATACCCAGGGCTTTGATAGGGAGAGAATGAGGCTTGGAGCCAAAACTCTGTTTACATCTGGCATTACAATCTTTTCAGTAGGAGATTTAAGACCTTCCTTGTTGTCCAGGCCTTCCATATGAAATGTTTAGTTACAACTGTATTCTCTGTTCCTTAGTTTATTGTTTTTAGCCCGCCTTTTATTATGCTAGTTGCTATTTTAATATTGTACTTCTATGCTGTGTCAATTGTTTTCATACTTTTAAACACAACCCTGAAATCTTTTGATGGGAGGTTAAGAAATATTTTAGCTAATTAAATAACAGCAAGGGCTCCTCCAGGCATTGGCACAGAGCCTTTCATTTCTCAAATATTCTTATCTTTGCTGAAGAAAGCCAAAGCTAGCCCAAGATTATCATTCAGCTACATGGAATTAATACTGTGGGTATTTTAAATCAGTTTTGAAAAACACATAACAAGACAGTACAGTAAATCATTTAAAATGTATGCCTAGCACAGATTTGTAGAAATAAAACACAGTCGTACCTTGGAAGTCGAACGGAATATGTTCCGGAAGTCTGTTCGTCTTCCAAAACGTTCGGAAACCAAAGCGTGGCTTCTGATTGGCTGCAGGAAGTCACGGAAGCCCTGTCATATGTTTGGGTTCCAAAAGAACGTTCGCAAACCGAAACAATCACTTCTGGGTTTGCAGAAGTTCCAAGGCATTTGGGATCCAAGGTACGATTGTACAGCTGTTTCATACATATGTAACCTAGGCTGTGAGTGGAGCCCAGTGGCATTAGAGGCAGTCGTTTTGGGGAAATAGTAAGGCACAGGCAGTCTGACCAGTGGTCCATCTAGCTCAGTGTTGCTTACACTGACTGGCAGAAGCTCTCCAGGATTAGAGGCAGGAAGTCTCTCTCAGCCCAACCTGGAGATTCCAGGAATTGAACCTGGAACCTTCTGTATGTAAGGCAGATGCTCTACCACGGATCTATGGCCCAAATATCACCGTGTGTCCCTTAGATTTGGGATGAGCCTGGCTTCCTCCAGGCTTCACTACTGAAATGACAGATATGTGCACCGAGAAACTGAATGCTGGCTGAGCTACCTGTCTTCTTGCTCCTCATGCTTCAGGTGGGCTGCCTGCCTAGTTTATTTTTACAATTTTGAAAGCACGACTTTTTCTAGCCAATGCATTTCTCTGTTAATTCGTCTTCTTATTCACAAAAAAGTATAAAACTTCTCTGGCAGTTCTCTAGTCTAGAAGGTATCTTGTGACATCAGAAACACAGAGCCAATTGGTGCCCTGCCCTGCCAGTCTCTGCTCCATAGTGAAAGCACTTTCCTGGCAGTGCCACTGCTAGAAATAATATTGTCTTGTGTGAAGCCTGAGGGTTTCCTGGTTTACATCTAACTCTGCTCAGTAGCAATGACAATAATGGACATGTGTTGTATATTCCTAGGTTTGATCCCTGACATCACTATTTAAACCAAAAACAGGGAGCAGAGCCGGGGGTGGGGGAGAGAGAGCCACTGCTAGAAAGGGCCTTGGTATATGGCAAGCCCACACATTTTCAACACAGTGACAATTTGATGATTTTTTCAGAGTTGCACACTGAATGAGCTCATTAGCTGTTTGGCAGCAATCTGTTATCACAAAAATCCTTGTTGGTACCGACAGGACCCAGGGAGTGGGAGAGCTTACATATGATACATGTTGGCTTGAAAATTAAGGAGAAGGTATTTGAAAAAATAAAGAGTGCTGGGAACTCAGGCTCTTTTCACCAGCACTGAGTCCCCCTACAAATGAGAATACTGTAAATGATTACGCACCATGACATAATATTTGAGGGCAAATCAGTGAGAAATTATGCCTGCGTTTGAGGGGCAAGGAGTTGGCTGAAAACTTTCAATCTTCAGAGAGCTCCCACACAATATCAATTGCAGTCAAAGAAAACCAAACTCAAATACCCCCAAACTACAAAACATACAGATGGTACAATCAGGGTAGCGAGGAATGTTTCTTCATATGCATGTTATACGTATATCATTCAGGGTTGTATCAATGTTTCTGCATGTTGCAGTTGTGAATAATTTCACAACCAATAACACTTCATGCTTACAGCACTGAAACACCCTCTAATTGCAATGGACAGCAAAAAAGTAGTCAGTGGGAACTGAAACACAGCATTGTGGCTGTCTATTACGCAGCTTGCTTGCGTATAATAGGTACATACAGCTTGAGATTTACCATTATAATTGCAGAACAGTCTTGCCGATGTGCAGAAATTATAATTATAGTTTACCTTCTCTCTTTTTTATACCTACCTAGGTCTCCAGGAGAAAGGGAGTGATCCATTCAAAGTCAAGCATTTTTAGCCCCATTGATTTCAACGGCAGAAACAGCTTTAATTCTTCCATTGAAATAAATGGGGTAAAACTTGGCTAGATTGTACTCATACTGTTTTCAGGTCTCCTGCATGGGGGATAACCTGTCCTATAGAGCAGTGAGCTAACCTCTGCACACTAATAAAACAAATTAAAATAGACACAGGGCTGGAGTAATGGGAGAGGTGTAAACCTCTCTATCCAGTCCAGAACACTAATAGGGACGTAATCTGCCCTCTCCTTGGTCATGAGATTGATCATTCGGTAAGTGTGGAGTTGGTAATAACCTTGCTCTTCAGCTGGTCTGTGTCCTGTGTGTGCATATGCACTCTAAATGTGCACATGTTAGAACTGGGGGAGGGGGCAGGATGGGACACGATGCTACAAGGTGAATTAATCCTGAAGCACCTGATGGCATCCAGTGAGCTTCATGGTTGAATCTGAGGAAAAATCAGTAAGGCCAGTGTGCTTATGGTGGAACTAGCCATTGGGGTGGCTCACCCTGTGTTTAGATTAGGGACCAGCAAACAGAGGCCTCAGGGGCCATATACTGCCTCTTCTAAGTACCAGTCACCTCCTATCAACCCCCCACCTCAAATTACAGTACTTTATATGTGAACAGGAAAGATGGCTGCCCTGTTAAACCTATCTTGGCTCTCAAGCAGAACTAAGCCTGTTTAATTGGCAGTAGGCCATTATCAGTGGGCAAATTTATGCTCCCATTCTTGGTAATCCCATTCTTCCACAAGTGGCTGCTGCAAGGATTAGAACAAGAAGCAAAGGTAACTGGAATACACATCCATTTTTTGTGCGTAAAAGTGCTCTATAACAAAGCATGCACCGCAATCACATATGAAAAAGCATCCACACAGATTTGAGTTCCTCCTGTGTTTTCGTTCTTTCTTTTTCTTTATGGGTGGTAATTTCCATTTTGGAACGTTCCACAACATTTTGAGATTATTGAATGATCAGATAAACATTGTCAAGGCATGTGTACAGTGGAGCTTGGGCCTTTGCGGTGCCAACATTTTACAGCCAGCATTACCCCACAGAGTTACAAAGGGTGTGTAGACTTCCTTGACAAAAGAGGCCTGTGAGAACGTGAGCCTTATTATTCCAGCGCCTGTTGCTGACCCAAAGCAGGGCTTCCTATGGAAGCCTGGCATTTTCCACGGCCCCACCCAACATTCTTTTGTTGGCTGGTGCCACTCTGGAAATTATTAGCACAATGGGAAATGGCTGACAGGAGGGGTTTGTTTTGAAACTTACCTTGTTTTTCTTCTCTACGTCTCTGATTAGTTCAGTAGGCCTTAAACGCAGGAAAAAGGAGGTGCTTGTTTTGGCTGTGAGTCACGTATGCAGAGAGACGCCTGGCTTAAACTAGCAGGGGTCTGACTTACTGCAGAACCACAAGTCTGATGGATAGTGTATATACAGTAATAGGAAGTCCCACAGTGTTATGCTTTGGGGTTATTTCTCTTCTTTGAGAAGCCTTGGACAGCAAAACTATTGAGCATGTTAATGTATTAGGCTGAGTCTTTTCAGCTGCTCCGATAAGTTCGTTCCATTTTTTGAGGCATTAGTTTGCCTCGTTCATGTTTGCTTTCCTCGTCTGCTCAAGTTACAGAAGTTAATGTGCTTCGCTGAGGTGTCCTAAATGATGTCATTAAGATAAGGTTTGCATAATGTCAGGCGTGCTACATCGAGTCAAAATACATTCCTCTGCACCCCTGCAAGTTAAGGTATGCATAATAATCTTTAGTAAATTTGACCTGTTAGACTGCTTCTTGCAAAAGAAAAAAGAATCTGCATCAAACATTGCAAACCTTGAGCTGCTAGATTAAGCAGACCTCCCTTTAAGCACAAATTGGAACCAGTTGATTATACCAGTGGTTTTCAACCAGTGTGCCGTGGCACCCTGGGGTGCCTTGAATTATGGTCAGGGGTGCCGCGGACAACACTGGCCTCTGTCCCTCTTTCCTCCCCTCCCCCTTTTGATGCCGTCTTGCGTCTTTTTCCCAAAGCCCTGGCTACAAGGTCTGCAGGTGGATGGGGCCCCTGGGGCTGGCCAGGGGGTGCTGGTTACCAGGAGCTGAGGCGCCTTGGAGTAAGCAAGCAAGTGGGCGAGGGAGGGAGCCCAGCCAGCCGGTCTGCCAGCCCTTGCTTTTGGGAATGGACAGACATGTCCTCGACGCCTGTGGGCAGTGTGAGGAGGCACCTCTCTTTGGGGTAGGGGTGAGGGCAGCTCAGATATCTGGGGTGGCCGCAGCGGCTGCCCGGAGGACTCCCAAGGAGAGGGGAGAGGAGAGGAGGCTGAGGGAACTCTCCACAAGGGAGGGTGTTCAAAAAAGGGTGAGGGGCTGCCAGCTCTGCAGGCAAGGGGTGACATAACTGGGCTCCTGAGCCCCACGGGGGTCCTGCAGAAAGAATGTACTTGGTCAAGGGAGCCGTGGACTCAAAAAGGTTGAAAACCTGGATTATACTATCAGTAGCACCAGGTAGCAACACACTGGGCCACCCCTTTGGGGTTGCACGCACAGGATTTGTGTGTTTTAATACCACACCCCTGCACGAATGAAACTTGTCCACAGAAAAACAGCATGTCAAGGTGATGAGTTCAGCAGTGGCATTTTCCCTGACATGCTATGTTTCTGTGTGAAGAGCAGGATGCTTTTTTTTTTTTTTTTGTGGTACAGTTCAGGAAGGCTTTACCGTGATTCCGCTGATTGTATAATCTGACTCTTACACAGTGTCAGAAATAGAGAAGTGCTTACAGAGAAGGCAGCCAAGAGAAAGGATGAATTATCAGTGACTTTATATTGGGTTGCTTTTGAAGCTTCTTTTAGCTCTTCTAGAGCCATGCCAGCTTCCTACAAGCCAACTTGGCTGTGCCGCTTTGGTCTAGCAGCTGTGATGGAAGTGAGCAAAGACAGATGGGGTTCTCACCAAACATGGAGCATCAGCAAAATATTTCACCAACATTCAATACTGAGCTTAGAGTATAATACGAGCATTCCAGGAGCGGGGGAGGTAATCTACTTTAATTACTACATAGTAAACTCTTGGTATTGGGACGCGGGTGGCGCTGTGGTTTAAACCACAGAGCCTAGGGCTTGCCAATCAGAAGGTTGGCAGTTCGAATCCCCGCGACGGAGTGAGCTCCTGTTGCTCGGTCTCTGCTCCTGCCAACCTAGCAGTTCAAAAGCATGTCAAAGTGCAAGTAGATAAATAGGTACCGCTCCGACGGGAAGGTAAACAGCGTTTCCATGCGCTGCTCTGGTTCACCAGAAGCGGCTTAGTCATTCTGGCCACATGACCTGGAAGCTGTACGCCGGCTCCCTCAGCCAGTAAAGTGAGATGAGCGCCTCAACCCCAGAGTTGTCTGCGACTGGACCTAACGGGCAGGGGTCCCTTTACCTAAACTCTTGGTATTAGCATTGACTGACCACTTCTTTGCAAAACGGCTGGTGATGCTTTTCTAAAATTTGGAGTAGTTTATAAGAACAGTAAGCTAAAGCAAAAACAACAACAAAGATAAAGTTAAAAACAAAAGGATTATGTAAAATAGCAATATTAGCAGCAATTGAACTTCAAAGCAACAATTGCAAAAGCAAGAATCGCAAAATCTCTTATAGGTTGCCATATGGAATTTCCTGGACATCCGGCTGTCAGAAACAGTGTCCAGGTGAAAATCGCTGAAAACTGCAGGAAAATCCATACATATGGCAACCCTTAAAAATAGCTCCAAAACTACTTTTTAAAAAAAGTTTTGCAAAAAAAGTTCAACAACCGGATTTTCACTTTTTGAAATATGGCAACCCTATTTGTCTATGGTAGTCTTCAGGTGCTGGTGCTACATAGGCCTTCACAATCACCTTAAACCCACCCCAGCTCCTTTTTAAAGTATTATCTCCACTGCAGAAGTCTTAACCATTCCTCCATACAACTTCCATGTGAACACTCTGATATTAGCACTTTTCTTGCAAGTCTGAGATAATCACATGGATAGTATTATTCGTGTGAACTGGCCCCGTGATTCTGTAGTCTCACTGTCCCATGTGCACCATTTTGTATTGGGCCTGGAATCCACCCTTTTATTCCATTTAAAAAGAAAAGCCAGTTTCTAGCCCTTCACACCTGTGAAAAGAGGTTTGCAAGTAAGCAATGCTTTGGGGGGATTTATAGCATAATAAATTATGGAATATATATATACCGTATTTTTCGCCCTATAGGACGCACCAGCCCATAGGACGCACCTAGATTTGGGGGGGGGAATAAAGGGGGGAAAATATTTTTTTCCCCAGGCGCGGGCCTGGGGCGGGGGAAGCCCGAGCTTCCCCCTCCCCCAGCCCCCAGAACGGGACCCAGAGCCATGCCAAAGCTGTGTGCACGCACACACACACACATAATATGTGCAGGTAAGATAATTCAAGTGCTACTTATTTGGCACACACGTATATAGTTTAGATGAAAGACAGCCTTGCAGACACCTGTGGTTGTTGACTAAAGACTCTTAAAGAGATTCCAAGCTGCTTCAACCGCATATCCATGCTGACTGTCTCAGGTTATTCCCAGGTCACTTGTGTTTGTAACAGGGAATAATGCTCTCTAGATGCCTCCAGACATACCAGTAGTATTAATCCGGCTAGTCTTTTGCATGATCAACTGTGAGAAGGAGGTGAGTCAAACACAGATTTTACCACCAGAGTTTTTTGCCCCACTTTGAATCCACATTGCTTGATTATTGAACACCTGCAACAATCATAGACTAAAGTTGTAAAAGGAGCATAATGACTCCTGCTGTATCAGACCAAAGGTCAATCTACTCCAGCATCCTGTTTGCAAAAGTGGTCACTCAGATGTTTCTTGGAAGCTCGCAAACAGGACATGAAGACAGCAGCTCTCTGCTGCTGTTTGTTCCCTGCATCTAAGAGGTACCCACTGAGCTGGTTTACATGTAACACTAAGCCAAACCGTGACTTAACACAAATGCTTGAGCATGGAGGCTCCTGGAGAGGAGATTGCAGCTGATTGCAGCCACTTTACTCCTCCTCTGTTCCGACTGCTGCTTCCCTGCAGTGAGCTAAGCCATGGTTTGACTTGGCACGTCATCCAAATCCAAGTGTGTGTTTTATCTCCTACAGACAAACCATGAGCAACAAGGCACAGAACAAACCTTCATCTATACATAGAAACTGTCCTGTGCAAATGTTATAGAAATCTGTGTCCTGTATTACCCTCTATTTTGTCAATACGTTCCTTCTTTTTCTGGTGATGCCTAAGTGACCAGCTCACCTGTAGACAGACCTATCCTCCATAAAGGTACAGTATCTAACATTTTTGGAAGTCATCTAAGCTAGATGACTTGTTAGGCTAGTGAATTTTATGTTAAAATATTGCTTATGTGAAAAAGTTATTTAGGAATGTTGCCAAAATATTTATGTATAATTTGCTGTAGTCAGAGGTAGTATTCAATTAAGTTTAACCATGAGATTAAATGAACATGACTAAGTTAGTTCCATTAATTTCAACGGGTTTACTCTGATTAAAACATAGTTGAATACAAGAGAACAGGAACACGGGAATTATTGGCTGGGACTAGGCTTGCCTAGCTCTCATGCTGGTGATTGTGACTCTGACTGTTGACTATTGAATTTCAGGAATAAAAGAATGGACAAGGTACTACAAAGGACTTTGCTTCGGCTGTTGCTGTTATCACTGCTTCATACCTTGAGCCAAGGAAACAGAAGTAAGTTCCACATATATTCTAGATTTCCCTTTACCACCAAACAGTGCTATTGTTTTCAAACCACTGATAGATAGACAAATTGGCGCCATTTTGTGGGATGTGTCTTGATGCTCTGCAAGAAAGACGGTGGAAAGATCTATTATTGTCTTCCTGAGCAACACTGAGTAGGCATAGTATATCTCATTGCTAGGCAGAATAATTACTCTAAACAACAAAATATAGTGGGCTTAATAGATGGTGCAGACAGTACAGGGCAGTGGCTAAAAGTCTATTTTTGGCATTGTACATAATGCATGAACCCAGCCTGCCGCAACCTGACACCTTCCATAAGGTTTGGACTCCAAATCCATCATTTCCAATCACATGGCCAACGGTTGTAATCCAAAACATCTGAAGGGCACTAGGTCAGGGAAAGCTGGTACCTATGATTTAGATCCACAGTTGCAAAACAAAACAAGCTTATTTCTGCAGGTGAAATTGGTATCTGTATTCTCCTTGTATTGCATTTCTCACCTGAAATTCTTCTTATCAAAGGGCACCAAAGCCCTGAGTAACGGTTTTCACATTGGCCCAGTTCACATATAATACTAAGCCGAACTAGGGCTAAATGTGAATGAGGGAGTCTGCAAGTGCATGGAGCAAACATCTTGGCCATCTCACTCCTCTCCCATTTCTCCTGCTTCCATTGTACCTGGAGTTAAGTCATGGTTTGGCTTAGCATTACATCTGAACCTGGGCTCATGGTTTGTCTCACTGCTAACAAACCACGAGCTGTAATTAAGATTTGTTCTTGACTAACACTGTGTGTGTCCTGCAAAGGAAATGAGAAGAGAGCCAGAATGGGACTAAGACAGAGTCCCCTTCTTTCTCCATTGCTAGACCAGTCTGGTTTCCTGTGTTTCTGACTTGTTGCTCTTGTCTCCTAGATAACCGTTGTGTGGCTTCCAGGGCAAAAAGCTGCACTGAGTGTATCCAAGTGAGCAAGGACTGCTCTTTTTGCAGTGATGAGGTAGGAGCTTTTTATAACTGTTGGATTGTTGTCTTGATGAATACACATCTCAAAGCTCCAAATTTCACCTGAGTTTTGGCCACAGTCTCACAGCCTCCAGTGCTGCATTCCTGGGCAATATCAATCCTGATTACACAAGTGATGTGTGTTGAGCCTCTACTCTTATGGTCCTTCTGACTCTAATGTATCTGTATGCCTTTGGATGGGGATGCATAACGTTTAGTTTCATCCCTCTCACTTCTAAATAGATTATTGCTCTACACACTCTAAGGAGTCCTTGACATGCGCATGCTTATCATTTGACAACTACAACATCAAGTACTAATTTGTATGTGTGTATGAGCAAACAGAAGTTTCATATCACTTCAAACACAATTCTCTTCAGTGGGCTAAATTCGCACATTAAGGCTGCAATCATAACCACCGTACTTAACCTGAGAGTAAGCCTTATCAGATTCAGAGGGACTTATTTCTGAGTACACATGATTTTGGATTACAGCCTAATCTGCTAGTCCTCAAATGTTACAACTACAATGCAGGGTTCGTTCATACAGTGTGTGTAAATTACTTGAGTGTAGTCTTCCCCAGTGTCCAGCATCCCCAGCCAGCAGGATCAAGTGTTAAGGTTGATGTGGATTGTATTCCAACAACATTTGAAGATCAAAGGTTGGGGAAGGCTGATTAGTGCCTCAGTAATTGGTAGCAGAATTGCGCCCCCCCCCCATTTAAAAGCACTGTGTGAAAGAGATGATGTGAACTTTCCAGCTCTGATGTTCCAGGTTGTAGCCAGGTGGTATGTTAGTGTCATAATAGAGTAAGGATGGAGCACAAGAACTTGGATTTACAATCATACCTTGGATCTCAAACACCTTGGCTCCTAAACAAATCTGCTCCCGATCGATTGAAACCTGGAAGTGAGTGTCCCGGTTTTCAAACAATTTTCGGAAGCCAAATGTCAGGCGCAGCTTCCACAGCTTCCAATTGGCTGCAGGATGCTGCGCCTTTGTTTCCGAAGGGTTCTGGGAATTGAACGGACTCCCGGAACGCATTCTGTTCGAGAACCAAGGTACGACTGTACTCTCTTCACACTGTTGCAAACCTACCTCTCTTAAGTTGCAGTTACAGGTAGACGTAGGAATTTCTCATGGGACCACCACATCCTACCCTCAGTCTAACATGGAGGCAGATAGTAAGGTAAATGCTTAAAAATAGAGAATAGCATGTGTTTTCTAAATGTGTGTGTCATTGTTATACAATTTCTTTTGCCCTAGAACTACAAAGAGTCCCGCTGTGATTTCAAAGACAACCTATTAAGATATGGCTGCAGTCAGACCAGCATAGTCTTCATGGAAGGAGAGATGCTAACAAAATCGGTGAGTGGAGAGGAAGTCATGTAAAGATGGGATTTGTTATTGTTGTTTAGTCATTTAGTTGTGTCCGACTCTTTGTGACCCCATGGACCAGAGCACGCCAGGCACTCCTGTCTTCCACTGCCTCTTGCAGTTTGGTCAAACTCATGCTGGTAGCTTCGAGAACGCTGTCCAACCATCTCGTCCTCTCTCGTCCTCTTCTCCTTGTGCCCTCCATCTTTCCCAACATCAGGGTTTTTTCCAGGGAGTCTTCTCTTCTCATGAGGTGGCCAAAGTATTGGAGCCTCAGCTTCAGGATTTGTCCTTCCAGTAAGCACTCAGGGCTGATTTCCTTCAGAATGGATAGGTTTGATCTTCTTGCAGTCCATGGGACTCTCAAGAGTCTCCTCCAGCACCATAATTCAAAAGCATAAATTGTTAAGCGAAAAGCCTTCTTTATGGTCCAGCTCTCACTTCCATACATCACTATTGGGAAAACCATAGCTTTAACTATAGGGACCTTTGTCGGCAAGGTAATGGGCTACAGACATAATAAAACAATTGCACACACCTGAATCACTGTCTAGAATTGCCAAAAGCCGAGTTTGCTTGGACAGCCTCCCTAACTTCTTTTTCTAAGTCAATAGGCTTAAGGGGAGGGTTACATAATTGGTCCAGACATCTTGTACATACATATAAATGATGTTTCTCTACACTCTGGCTTTCATCACTGTGTTCCGTTGCACCAGAAGCAGTTTAGTCGTGCTGGCCACATGACCTGGAAAGATGTCTGTGGACGGACGCCGGCTCCCTCGACCTGAAGCAAAATGAGTGCCACACCTCATAGTCACCTTTGCCTGGACTTAACCATCCAGGGGTTCTTTACCTTTACCTTTTTTACATACTTATAGGGTAGAAGCATTGTAAATTTAGTTAATCTCTTATTTGTCATGAATCAGCTCTCTCCCTTTCTGATCTCTTGTTAAAACCAAAAATGCAACATGACTGCTAAATCTTCTGAGGATTACTGGTGTCTCCTCTGGCAGGAATTTAAGATTGATACATCTCTGAAGAAAACACAAGTATCCCCGCAGAACATAGCAATGAAGCTGAGAGCTGGCGAGGAAGCTAGCTTTGACGTGGATGTGTTTGAGCCCAGTGAATCTCCTGTGGACCTCTACATTCTCATGGACTTTTCCTATTCCATGCGTGACGACTTGGACAACCTTAAAACAATGGGCCAACAACTGGGTGAGAATTAAAAACTTATCAGCTGTGGGAAACAGTGGTCTGCAACGTCTGAGTGCACTTGGCAAAAGACAGGGCTGGCCCTACCATTAGGCTGAATGAGGCAACCATCTCAGGCAGCAGATCCTGAGGAGCGGGGCATCCTTTCCCCTTTGTTGGGGGACAAAGGTGTGCGCACGCACCATAGAACCTCTTTTGAAGCCCCAAACTAGCCTGCTGCCCTCAGGTGCAATGGAAGTGTATTGTGTAATCGGACTACATTGTGGAAAAGTATGTTTCAAGCAAAGGACTAAGGCTGCAATTCTAACCCCACTTACCCGGGAGCAACCCCCATCTAATTCAACAGGATTTATTTCTGAGCAGACATGGTTAGGATTGCAGCTTTAATCTAAGTGTGCCAGGACATCTTCACTTACTTGCTCCTTTCCCACTTTCTTCCTGCCAGCAAATTTTTTGACTCAGCTAACCAGTGATTATACTATTGGCTTTGGCAAGTTTGTGGATAAAGTTACAGCCCCACAGACAGATATGAGGCCTGAGAGGTAAGTGAAGGTGGTGCACCCAGGGGATATATTTGTGAATTAACTATTTAGGATCCATAGCTGCCTTCTTGGTTGTTTTTAGTGGGTGGGTGTGAAAGATATAAAGTGAATAAGCCTTGTAGCTTAAGCTAGCCTGTTTCTAATACCTATGACTATGCCCCTTCTCCAAACCGTGCTGTCTTACTTCATCATATCCATTCATGGCTGAATCTTGTGTATGTCAGTTGACTGACTCATGATGAATATCTGTTTTTAATATGTGTTCTTTCATTTTTAAACTTATTTTGCAAAACAGTTGTGCACCCCAAATATAAACGGGGGGATTACATTTATATCCCATCTTTCCTCCAAAACGAAGGAAAACAGTCGGTTTCTTCCTGCATCTGATGAAATCAACTTATGCCTAAGAACATTTTGGTCACAACTCATTTGTTAATTTTTATTTTTAATTTTATTTTTGCTGTTTCAGCTCACAACACATGACTGTTCTTCTATAATTAATTTTATTAAACTGTATGGCAGATGACCGAGGTCTTTCCCTACAAGATACAGAGGAGGTGTTTCTGATATCAACTTGCTGGTATTTTATTATAAAGCCTTTGCTATTCTTTTTACATTCAGACTCCGTGAGCCTTGGACTGGTGCTGACCCACCCTTCTCCTTTAAGAATGTCATCCGCCTAACCCATGATATCAATAAATTCAGCCAAGAGTTAATGATGGAGCAAATATCAGGGAACTTGGATGCCCCAGAAGGTGGATTTGATGCCATATTACAAACGGCTGTTTGCAAGGTGAGCCAAGAGGTCGCTGAAGAAGGCATAGATAGATAAAGCAATTAACTGAGTGTAAGATGGATATGGGCCTTCTTAGCCCCTCATCAAGCTGTGAGATCAATGAGAATATTTAGGCCAAAGCTTTGCTTCAATTATCAGCGCATGGTAATGCTTGTGTCTTGCTAGAACCTGGCTGAGTTTTAGAATGGACTAGCTGTTATCAAGGGACGCGGGTGGCGCTGTGGGTAAAACCTCAGCGCCTAGGACTTGCCGATCGCATGGTCGGCGGTTCGAATCCCCGCGGCGGGGTGCGCTCCCGTTGCTCGGTCCCAGCGCCTGCCAACCTAGCAGTTCGAAAGCACCCCCGGGTGCAAGTAGATAAAATGGGACCGCTTACTAGCGGGAAGGTAAACGGCGTTTCCGTGTGCGGCTCTGGCTCGCCAGAGCAGCTTTGTCATGCTGGCCAGGTGACCCGGAAGTGTCTGCGGACAGCGCTGGCTCCCAGCCTCTAGAGTGAGATGAGCGCACAACCCCAGAGTCTGTCAAGACTGGCCCGTATGGGCAGGGGTACCTTTACCTTTACCTAGCTGTTATCAAGCCATAGCTAGAGTTAGAACATTACAATTTAAATAAACTCCAAAATTTGTAGTTCAGCTGGAGCTTTATTGGGACCCACAACAGTGTGGCGAGTTCTCTAGAACTTTTCATCAAGCGGACAGTGAGAGATGAATGAGGAAAAATGAAAAACCAAAACTTATAAAAATTAGACTGATGAAGTAGCCATGAGGTCAGCTTGTAGACTCTTTTTCCAAGATGTAGACTGAATAAGTCCCTCCCAGGTGTAACAGATATCAGGTTACACACCTGGGATTCTAGGTGTATTTTATGTTTTATTTTCTGGAAATGTTTAGAAGATATAATTTTAAAAATGTTTAATTATTGCTTAACAATGATAATTATCAAATAATTGTTAATAATAATAATTGTTATTAAATAATAATTATTATTGAATTGTTACTTTAGTGTAAATGGTGTTTTAATTATGTACTATGGTTATTGTTTTTCAACTGCTATTGTGTTGTAAACCACTTTAGGTACAAACTTGTGAGAAATGTGCTGTATGCATAAAGATGGAGATAACAGTTTGATTAGCAGCTGAAAGACATATGAAGGTTAAAAATACAGTGGTACCTCGGGTTAAGTACTTAATTCGTTCGGGAGGTCCGTTCTTAACCTGAAACTGTTCTTAACCTAAAGCACCACTTTAGCTAATGGGGCCTCCCGCTGCTGCTGCACCGCAGGAGCACGATTTCTGTACTCATCCCGAAGCAAAGTTCTTAACCTGAAGCACTATTTCTGGGTTAACGGAGTCTGTAACCTGAAGCATATGTAACCTGAAGCATATGTAACCTGAGGTACCACTGTAAATAAATACCAGAAGTGCTTTAGAATGGAAGCAGAACACATGGTGAATTCAGGGAGCTATACCTTGTCAATAGTTAAGAGATAAGAGCTGAGGCGACAAGATAAAAGAGAAGTGACCAGACACTGTCAACATCAGCACAAAAACAATTGATGAAGTTTCCAGACCTCTCAGCTAACCTTGGACTGGTCTGCAGTTGGAAGTGACACCCAGTGGCTGCAAGCTTTATTGATGTACCTAGAGAAGGGGTTGCCACAGAAACTTCTGCCATGGTGTGAATGTCCACAGCACTCTCCTCAACCTGTTTTTGGGGAACCAGCTTCACCATTCTGAGTAAATTAAATCCCTCCACAATGTTGAATCTACACCCTTTTGTTTTTCTCTTTGGCCACAGGACCAGATTGGCTGGCGGGAAGACAGCACTCACCTCCTGGTGTTCTCCACCGAGTCTGCCTTCCATTATGAAGCTGACGGTGCCAATGTCCTTGCAGGAATTATGAGGAGGAATGATGGATACTGCCACCTGAACAGGACAGGAAGTTACACCTTTGACACAAAGCAGGATTACCCCTCCGTACCCGCACTTGTGAAACTGCTGAGGCAGAGCAATATCATCCCCATATTTGCTGTCACCAACCACTCTTACGATTACTATGAGGTGAAAAATGACACTGGGAAGACAGTGGGTGTTGGGTGCTTGGATGGTGTCAGAGGAGAAACTGAGAGGTGTGTTTTTAAGCCACTTGCAGATGACACTGGCCACCATTGCGTGCAGACAATGACCTTACAAGGAAGCCAGTTTAGGCATTTACTGCTGGACAAAAAGCTCTGCTCTCCTCCTCCAGCAGCAAAAGGGCTACATGATCTGACTAGGGAAAGGAGGCCATCAGTCATTGTTGTTTGGGAAATACACTTTGAAAGTTATCCAAGAATCCTTCAGCAGATGAGCTTTTTTCATTTTTTCAGCATCTCCTTAGTTTTCACATTGAAGTGGAGATATTGTGGGTTTTCACTGTTTTCTCTAGTATATGTCCAAATGTGCTTCGAGTGTTTTCTTTCATATGTTCCTCATCCTAGAAATGTTATTCTGCTGTTCACTTTCTTCTCTGTGAAACACTACAATATATTCTCATAGGAATATATGGGTAATGTGTAGGAATCAGATTACCTTCAGGTACTGCATATTTTCTCACCCAACAACTTGGTAACAGCAGAAACAAGAACATAGCCTATTTCAAAGCAGCTGTGCAATCTATTTTTGTAATCCAGTGGGGACACCCAGTGGTTAGTTGGATAATCCCAGTCAGGAATCAGACCAGGATATCTTTTGTTTCACACAACATATTTCCATCTGCAAATGGACCAAGCTACATGTTACTCCAAGAAATCCATGACTGATTATCTGATAAGTTTTTTTGAAGAATATAGAACAAGCCCTACTGGATCAGACCTAAGGTCCATCTTAGTTAGCCTAAGGTTACCAGACATCCCCGTTTCCCAGGGACAGTCCCCGGATTTACAAATCAGTCCCCATACAAAATCCATTGAAATTGAAAAGTGTCCCTGGATTCATTGAAAAAAATCTGGTAACCTTAAGCTAGCATCATGTTTCCTTCAGTGATCAGCCAGATGTTTCCAGGAAGCTAACCTGCAGGGCAAAAAGACAATAGAGCAGGCGTGGAGAACATTAGCGCCTCCCCAGAAGTTGCTCCTCCCAGAAGTTCCTAAACTATAACTCCATGATCCCTAACCATTGACCATGATTGCTCGTTGCTAGGGCTGATGGGAGTTATAGTTCAGCAACATCTGAAGGGGCTTTAAGTTTCCCCACCCCCACATTAGAGTGAACAAATGCTTTATCTTAAATCTAAGTCCTAGAAGGATAGGGGTTTGAGGGCCAAACTAGACATGTCAACTTTGCAAAGGAAATTAACTTGCATGCTGATTGTTATGAGAATAGCAGTCCTGGGGAAGGCTATGAGGATGGAGAGGGGAGGATTTAAATATTTCTCTTCCTGCCATGATCCTGGCAAAAATAGCCTCTCCAAAGCTGCTATTTTCATTTCAAAGCAAGTTCCCATTGGTCCCACTGAAATGCACATTGCAGTTTCCAAGAGATGGTTTTGAGGATTGTAGTCAGAACAGAAAGAGTTAAACTTTCCCTTTCTCTCCAGCCCCCATGGTCTTGAGGCTGCTCAGGCTCCTCCTCGGCTACAGTTTCCGTAATAAAAAGCAGGTACATTAATTGCATTTATGCAATTAACATCACAGTTAGCTTGGCCCTAAGAATATTTTTTCTCTATCTACTTTCTCTATGCCATGGATAATTTAAATATTTTTCAATTAAAGATGCACAGAGAATGAGGGTATTTTAACTCCTTCCTTCCAGGCCATGTTCCCAGTCTAAAGCCCCTGCTAAGCTGCTATTTGTTCCATGGGGGGAAATTTCAGATGCGTGATACAGATTTGTGTTTTCCTCTTGAAAAGCAACTCACAGCTTGAGGGTGTTGGGCAGCGGATAGGGTTTAATGTCCCAGCCTTCACACCACTTTCCTAATTAAATTAGCACATGCACATACTGCTGTGTGTCTGTTTAAAAGACCAATGGAAGAGCAGTCCTGGATCCTCATGGCATAATGTGTGCTTTGGCCCTAAGATTCTCAACCTTCATTGGACTTCACTGAGTGTTGGCTTGACCTACTGGCATGAGGCTCCCCAGGATAATTGCTAAGATGCTGCAGCTAAAAGAAGGCATTGCCCGGTGTGGGTAGCATCTTCAGTTGGTATTATGACAGTTGCACTGGCTGCATACTAGCTTCCATGCTCGCTTCACTGTACTGGTGGTGACTGATAAAGCCTTTCATGTCCTATCCCAAACAACTAGCCTCTGCCCACAAAGCCCCTTTTATCCACCTGTTCATTAATATCAGCTAGGGAGGCCATTAATCAGAATGGCATCTTTGAGATGGGTTAGAATGGATACAGGATAGAACCATCCCTTCACAACAAGAGGTTTTGCTACTGTCTTTGAAATGCACATTCCATTGTAGAGACCCAACCCAGTGAAAATTAATCATAACTACATCCTGTTGAAATCAATGGGAAAACACCACAGCTAATACCGTATTTTTTGCACCATAACACTCACTTTTTTCCTCCTAGAAAGTAAGGGGAAATGTCTGTGCATGTTATGGAGCGAATGCCTACAGGTGGCGGGGGGGGGGGGGACCGCTGCAGTCGTGAGCAGAGGATCCATGGTTCCCCTTCCTTCCCTCCCTCCGTGGCTCGCTTTGAAACAGCAAAGCGGGAGAGGAGCTGCTTACACAGGTGTAAGCGGCTCCTGTCTGGTAGCTGCTTTAAACCGTGCTCTCTGTCCCTCTCTCCTCCCCACTCAGCTCGCTAAATAGCAGCAAAGCTTTTCAGTTCTCTAAGCCGGGGAGGAGGGAGAGAAACAGAGCCTGCTTGTTTTAAAGGAGCAAAGTGGGAGAGGAGAGGAGCCTTCTCCCCTTCTCCCCCTCTTCTGCATTATTAGCAGCATCCTTCTCCACCCACCCCACGCGTGCTCCTTGTCCCTTGAGTGCTTTCCCTTCCCTCCCCACTTAAAACGTGGTTACAAAGCACGGATCCACATGGATCCTCAGGATTTTTGCATTGGGCTATCCCAAACTCACCGTCAGATCACATGTCTGTGGCCACAGCATGAACCACAAAAATCATACATCCACTGTTTCGTTTAGAATATTTTTTTTCTTGTTTTCCTCCTCTAAAAACTACGTGTGTGTTATGGTCAGGTGCGTGTTATAGAGCGAAAAATACGGCATTTGCTTTGTTGTTGTGACCTGTGTCTAGTGTTTCTCAGCAGCAAAAATTCAACTACAATAGTAAGATAAAGGTATATGCTCAGTTACTGTGTATAACAAGGTACTTAACTATGTTGCTTTCTCTGTTGTCCATTTAAGGTTGTAACAGAACTTAAATATTTAACTAATTCACTGCTTTTTCTTTTTTAATAGAAACTGCACACATATTTCCCAATTTCTGAAATTGGGAGGCTGCAAGAAGATTCCTCTAATATTGTGGACTTGATTCGTACGGCTTACAATGTAAGAGGCAACATCAGGAATCTGTCCTATCTAGGAATGGAAAAGAAATTCAATTTTGTGTGCATTTTAATGAGAAGCTGCATAATTTTCACTTCTCAAATCAATATGTGAACCAAAACACAGCTAGCCTTTGACATTTGTACTTCACTGAATTTTGTGGTAACAATACGACTCAAGGAGCAAATTAATAGAGCCATCCTCTGTGGACATGGTTGGACATTATAATGTGCAAATCCTATTATTATAATCTAGGGAGAACCTCTGAATTTGGTATGTTTCAGTTTTATTAATTTACTCCCTCCCTGCCTTTCCCAGCGTATTAGTTCCAAGATGGACATCCGAGCTTTTGGCACCCCAAAAGCCATGAAAACAGAAATAACATCTGAGATGTATGAAAAGACAGAGTCTGGCTCATTCAATATTGTCCGTGGTGAAGTGGTAAGCCCTCTCTCCCCTTTGTATTTCTGTCTTCCTCATTCACTCACTCTTGACAGGGCCAGGGCCGGCCCAGCCATTAGCCTAGTGGTGAAGTCACAGCATTGGCACCGATTTTAAGCGTGATCTCCCCCAAAATTGGCAAGAACTCACATGAAAGCCGTTCTGATGCCAGCACTGCTTCTCTGCCAGTAGCAGCAGTGGTAGGGTGGGTAGAGCAGGTGTAAGGAGCAGCAAATATGGCAGTGTTGGTGGCGGCAGCAGCAGAGCATGGCAGCACTTCCTGTTTTGCCTCAAACAGCAAAATGCGATGCACCATCCCTGACCTGGGCATTCAGATGATGGCACTGAGTCCAATTATTTCCAGAAGAATGGAAGAGTAGAGCAGTCTCCATAGATACAAATGGCTTTAGAGCTACTAATTGTTTGTAAATGGTGGCGTTTTGACATGGATGAAACACATATTCAATATGTATCCATCATAAGTGGTTGCTGCCATTTTAGGACCCCATTTATGTGTGTTTTATTAAATCAAACTTTTAATTAGCACTAAAATACTTTCCTTTTTTTAAATAAAGAAGTATAGCTGTACAATGTTATAATGTCATGATGATATCTATCCATCCATCCCTTTCTGGTAACAATCATTAACCGGGTTGCTAAAAACGTGTTGTTGCTGCTGCTTCTTTGACAATCACTCATAGCCGAGTAAGATTGTCTTCCATGAACACAGTCTTCACAATGAGTCCATATGTGACTGTGGAGGCCAATTCTGGATCCACACATCCTTCCACATCAGGGACATAGGTTTTCGGGTGCGAGTTGATCATGGTTAGGGTTTGGCAAATGTGCCTTCCTCTTAGCACGTTTCTCTCTTTCATCATGAGTTTGAGCGTCTTCAAAGTCCACGACACCTTTTGTAAAGGCTGTTCTCTAGTTGGAGCGCTCACGGGCCAGTGTTTCCCAGTTGTCGGTGTTTATACTTCATTTTTAAAGATTTGTCTTGAGAGAGTCTTTAAACCTCTTTTGTTGACCACCAGCATTACGCTTTCCATTTTTAAGTTCAGAATAGAAATTGCGTTAAACTGTTATAGCACTGTAAGACAAGCAGCAGCAGCAACATAGCATGACTGTGTTAAGGGTTATTCCTCCATTTCAGAAAAAAAGGCAGGAAAGTGTTTTACTGCTAATAAAAAGATTGATTTTGAAAACAGGGTTAAATAAAAAGCCACTCACCACAAGCTGCCCTGGTTTCCCTCCGGAGGAAGGGCAGGATATAAACTGAATGAATGAATAGCGAATGTGTGTTGCTGACCTTCAAATGGGCTACGTCACACCTGATAGGATGGGCAGGACAAAGTAAGACTCACACAGAAGCGCAATACTCCTACTAGTGTGGAAAGTCAATTGCAATTCACTTTTAGTTCAGAACTTGAGAGCAATGATTAGGTAGTACCATCTGGAAGCAGCCATTAACAATAACTGTTCAGGACAGGAAGAGCAGGGCCCCATATCCCAGACCACCACCATGTTGTGTAGGTTTTCTGGTTGTATCTCCATCCCACCCAGCTACTTATACATGGGGGAGGGGGATGCTGCCAGCCAGTGTGGTGCAGCATCGGGAACATACACTTCTTACCCATCTCAGAAGCAAGTTAGCAATATCCGTTTCCTTGTTTCTACGTCTTCAGCCTTGTGCCTAGCCATTCACCTTCCAGGTTGCTGTTTAAAGTGGCATATCTCTCTTGTCTTTCTCTCTTTGGATCAATCCAGCAAATGAACAGGACTTCTCTCTTCCATCTAGGGCAGATTCAAAGTACGTGTGAAAGCTCATGAGCAAGTGGGTGACAAGCATGTCTGCAGTCTCCCGGAGAAAGATCGGGATGGCGTTTTCCACATTAAGCCCTCCTCTTTCGGTAACAACGTGGAAGTAGCAGCCTCAGTCATTTGCGACGCCTGCCCCTGTGAACTGGTACTTTTTTGTTCTCCTCTTTGGTTGTCCTACCCCAAGAATGGCTCTAGATATTAACAGGGACGCGGACTTATAAAAAATATTGGGGGGGCCCGGGAAAGCTCATGAATAATAAATAAGCTCATGAATATGCAAATAAAGTGGCGCCGCCTCCTCATGAGCGAATAGGGGAGAGCGTGCTGCGCCTATTAATCAGCTCCAAAGGAAATTGGGTGGAGCTTTTGCTCGGGAGGGAGGGCAGGAGGCATGCAGCCCGCCCCTCCCTGTGCATTTTGGGCTGGGGGAGGGGCGGCGATGGCGCTCTGCTGGAGGGGCGCCGGAGATTATTGGGGGGGCGGAGCCCCCCCAAACGAATTTTTGAGGGGGCTCGGGCCCCCTCAAGCCCCATGGAGTCGGCGCCTATGGATATTAATGTTATAGGAAGCCTGACTCTTGTATGAGCTCTTTAGGTTTGCATATAGAAGCAAAACTAGAGGCTACCATTATTTATTCTCTGAAGGACACGTGACTAAATCTGATCCCCTAAAATAAAGTTCAGTAACATCTCTTCTCTTGTACTTTGCAGCAACAGGAAGTCCTATCACCTAGGTGCAATTTCAGGGGGAACTTCGCCTGTGGAGAGTGTGTTTGCAATGCAGGCTGGTAAATACCTCATCCTTATTTTTTATTAAGTGGGGTGTGTGTTTTCTGTTTCCTTCAGCAGAAAATATCAGTTGGTTGATTGATTGATTGATTGATTGATTGATTGATTGATTGATTTGTACCCTGCCCTTCCTCCAATCTGGAACACAGTGCAGCTTCGAATAACAAGCATAAGGACAACTGTATAAAATAAAACACAAAAACATCAGATATCAATAAAATGCAGCAGTGTAGCAGCAATATATAAATAAAAAATCTGTGGGACCAGCAACCTAACCCAAACAATTCATCCTCCAAACTACTGGACAATAAACTACTGGTTTATTGTTGTTTTATAAATCTTGGTTAATGGTAACCATGGTTCAATGTTATGTGTAAACCTACCCAGTATGTTCACTGCTTATTGCATACAGAGACAGACCTGATTGACTGATTATGTGGTAATTGGTGCCTTAGCAATATCCTGTTCAGGAAGTCACTTCAAAATATTTTGGTTATTGAAAATGTTAACATTTTTCTATTGATTATATTATCTTTCTGGATAATACTCCCACTTTTAGTATTAAACTTTAGTAGAGTGCCCCCCCATGGATGCCCTGGGAGTCCGAAAAGGGAGCAGTATAGGATAGGAGAGGTTCCCTACTGGTGTTAGACACCCACACCCCACTTAGTTGTTAAATGTTGAGTTTCTGAATAACCTACTACCCCCAAACTCCAGCAATCTAGCAAGGGACGTGGTTATCACGTGCAACCTTGCTTCTGCTGCTGGGAGTATGCCTGGGAGCAGAGGGCAACACAAGGAGCCCTCCCTTTCCCTCCCCTGTGAAGCAGGCACAGGGAGAGAGAGAAAATCAGACTCGAAAACTGTGTGCCCAAATCCCACCTCTCAAGCGTCACTTTCCTGACCCCTCTCTTCCCTTCCAAATCAACTACAAATAGGAGGCAGGAAATATATGTTGGACTCATGCTGTCTGCTTTTCTCTGAGCCACACTTTCACCTCTCAATAGTCGCTTCATGGCAAAGAAAGGTTGAACTGTGGCCAATTATTATCATTTCTTTGCACCATGCCTTCTAAGCAAGATGTCAGACCTTTGGGGCCCTTCTCAGTCTTTGTCTTGACTTCCTTTCTCCTTGACAGGCGGGGAGCTACGTGTAACTGCTCTACCACCTCCTCTACTGACGATGCAGCCTGCGTACGACCAGGGGATACAGAGCCCTGCTCAGGGCAAGGTGAATGCCTCTGTGGGCAATGCGAGTGCTATTCTGAAGGTCGGACCCAGCGTTTTGAAGGCCGCTTTTGTGAATTTGACAATTTGCAGTGTCCCCGCAGTTCCGGATTCCTCTGCAACGGTGAGTGAGGCCTTCTGGAGCAGTGACCAGGCTTCAGGTCTGCCCTCAGGTGGTTACAACTTTCTGCTGCAGGCTAAGGCTACACACCTGAATCCATTTACCTGAGAGTAAGCTCCCTTGAATCCGATAGACCTTAGCAGGCACAGTTAGCATTGCACCGTAAACTGTCATTCTCAGATGCTTGTGAAATCACACCACAACTAGATCATAGATTATAGAGGATTCACTATTGTGTTAATGACTGAACAGAAGAGCCTCCCCAAACCTATTGCCCCAGTTATAAAGCTTATGGTGTTTGAGTTTTTCTGCAGGCTATCACACCTTCCTCATATTCTTTGCCTTTGAATCCCCCTAGGCTTGTACAGCTAATGCCAAGAAAAGCCTTTAGGGTTGGTCATAGATCTGTCATCTTCTCTTTGAAAGCCTCTAGAGGGCATCAGTTACACTCTCAAGTGAAGGGAAAACAAAAGGTGTTTTCGTGATCCATTTCTGTAGAGATTAGCCCAGTGACAGTGTGGGGAAAATCCTGTGTTTTAAACAGATTCCCTGCATTCACTGTGTCTGACTGCAGCCAAGGTCAGGTTGATGTTGACCTGAGCATTAGTGGTTTCCTAAAAACTATGTCTGAATGCCAAGTACTCTGAAGTTAAGTCCCAAGTATGTGTGGTTAGGACTGCAGTTTGAATAGAAACATACTGTGGGTTCTCTGGTTCACCTTTCCCTTTCCAGTACTTGGCCTTTCTTATTGCAGCAAACAAGACCATGTTGTTGTCTTTCTGCATCAACCTTTATAAAATGTTGGAGGCATACTCGATGAATCCATCAAGTAGAAAACACAGTAGCTTAACATTCCCCACTTCTTTGTCTTGATTATAGTCATTTAAAGCTTCTGAATGGTTTGCACTTCTACCACATTTGAATAAAGACACCCTTAAATGCTTCACAACACAGATTTTCTCTACCCCTGTTGTATATACATCTTCCATGGCCTTGTTGTGTAGCTGTTTTTCAACAGTACTCACTTAATGACTGACCCAAAATTGTGATCTTTCAATAGATAAAAATGTTAGGACTTCCCTCCTTAATTTCACATTACTGTACTGTACAGACCTTTATTTGACGTCAACATTTGTTTCCACCTTATAATGCTCCTGCTGCCACAGTGTGAGATGGTCTTATATTTATTGCAATACATTTTATTGTTTTCATCTTATTCATAATTTTTAAAAGCACAAAATATCTAAGATACAAAACAACAACAACACAACGACAAACCCCCAAAAGCTCCTGACATAACTATGGGCATTGTGGCACTTTGCCAAAGATGTGAATCTTGAGCTAGATCAGCCATGTAAGTGTAGGCTGAGTTCTGTGAAACCCTATCCTTGTTTCCTTCCTCTATGCAGATCGGGGGCGCTGCTACATGGGTCAGTGTGCATGTGAAAGTGGTTGGGAAGGCCCTGGCTGTGAGTGTCCCACAAGCAATGAGACCTGCATCTCCAGCAGTGGGGTAAGTTTTCCCCCCCTGCCCTTCTTAGAAAGATAAACAAGGGGGATAGGAAGCTGTATTCCTTCATGTACAACAGCCTGAAGATCAGAGAGAGTTCTGTTTAAATAGATGGCCGGGTGACTTCAAAGTTGATGTAGCAGGCCTCATGCTTTGCATTGGGATGTTCCCAAATTCAAGTCCTCACTTCTCCAGGCTCTCGGGAAAGTTCTTTCCGAGACCCTGGGCAAGGTGTTGCCAGTCAGAGTAGACAATAATGGACTTGAGCTGGTAGACTGATTAATGGATTTAAGGCATCTTCAGAGAGGGGGTAGGTAAAGGTAAAGGGTAAAGGGACCCCTGACCATTAGGTCCAGTCGTGGCCGACTCTGGGGTTGCGGTGCTCATCTCGCTTTACTGGCCGAGGGAGCTGGCGTACAGCTAACGGGTCATGTGGCCAGCATGACTAAGCTGCTTCTGGCGAACCAGAGCAGCGCACGGAAACGCCGTTTACCTTCCCGCCGGAGTGGTACCTATTTATCTACTTGCACTTTGACTTGCTTTCAAACTGCTAGGTTGGCAGGAGCAGGGACCGAGCAACGGGAGCTCACCCCGTCACAGGGATTCGAACTGCCGACCTTCTATCGGCAAGTCCTAGGCTCTGTGGTTTAACCCACAGAGAGGGGGTAGGACACAGAAAACTCCCTTATGCTGAGTCAGACTGTCAGGGAACTGCCATCAGCTCAGAGGCGAGAGGTGGAAGGGCTGTTGGGTTACAGGGAGCCTCCAAAGATCGTGAGAAGCAGCACTTCCTCCACGGGGGAGGGAAGCCACGCCTCCAGTGGGGAAGGGATGCAGGACTCGGAGGATGCAAGGGAGAGCCACAGCACCGAGCAGGAGCAAAGCGGGGGGGGGGAGGCAGGTCCCCCTTTGCCCACGCCCTCTCTGCGCGGTAGGTTTACATGCAGAGAGGGGAGGCGTAGGATGGGGGTCAAGAGACTACTCTGCTGGGGAAAGTTTAAGGACCGCCTACTCCCAGATTCTGCTAGTGACTGAGCAAGACAGGGAATGGAGACGGCTTGCACTGTGAATGTTTTTGCACTGATCATAAAGCCTTTGAAAAGACCAGTGGGGGTCTTGCCTGTTCGCTCTTGAGCAACCACATAACACAACAATACATAACACAGACCTAGGACTTTCTGCATGCAAAGCAGATGCTGTACCACTGAGCTACGACCCTTCCTGGGATGAAGTGGTGTTTTGTTTTGTTTTTTTTGCTTAGCATTATGCTGTATAGAAGAGGCAGCGGAAAAGTTTAGCCACAAGTGTCCAGACATGGGTGGGAGGTGAGCATGCCTCACTCCCTCACTTTTGATAACCCAGTTTACTCACCATCTGTGGCTTGGCTTGTTCACCAAACTCCCAGGGAATTGTATCTACCCTGCAAAACTGCATGGAATTGCACCATTCAGTTGCCTCTTTGCATCCACCCTCCATCTGCTGATTTGCCCACTAAGGCCATTTCCTACTCTACTTTTGTGCTCTGAGAACTGTGGGAACTCGACTAATAAGGGAGAAGTAAGGCACGGGTATGAAGTCTGTTTTTAGCTTATTTTCTCAGTTTTTGCAGCAGTTGTTAAGCCGGAGATAGTGTTCAGAATATGCAACCTGTTTGTTTTACGCACATGAGGAAGCCTGCGAAGGCATTTTAGTCCAAACTCTGATCTGCTCTCCTGAGTAATCTAGGCCATCATGTAGCTATTATGAATTGTTTGCTTAAGTTCACCTTCTTCCCAAGATACAGACCCTATTACCCTTCGCACGCTTTTAAAAATCCTTACCAACTCTTAAGAGATGTAAGTAAAGAGCCCTCTCCAAAGGGTTCTTTCCCCCATGTTTGACTTTCCTCTTGGCTGTGGTGAAAAATATATATCCTCAACTGAATTTGGGTAAGGTTTTGCCATTTCAGAATAGAAGATGATGTATCACCTGAAATTGAACTTTCAGTGCTTGCCCTTGTCTCTTGCAGATTCTTTGTAATGGGCGCGGGAGATGTGAATGTGGCAGATGCATCTGTAGTAACCCCACCCTCTACATTGAACCCACCTGCGAAACCAGTTATGCCCTGGTAAGCTCTTAGATGAAGCCAGTGACTTTAGGGGGGGTCAGCATGCTTAGAGTGTTATATATCCGATGACTAGGACTTTGGGTCAATTCTTATGCTATATTTGAAAGATTATTCTTTGTGCTTTTAAAACCACATTTACTCTTCCTTATGCCTCTCATGCATATTTGACAAATAGAGATCACTGCAAATGTAGCCACACATGGTCACTCCCTTGCTCCCGCTTTCCCCTGTTAATATGAACTTCCCTGGCAGCCCTTACTTATGATATCTCCATTACAAGCCAGACCAAGCAAAAGATGAGCACACTCTATCTACAACAGCGAATTTCTTTCTTTTTTCTACTTTTTTGTTTATGATTTTCAATTTTATACATTTCAATAATCTTTCTGCGTTTTTAAAAAAATATTTTCCTCATATTCCAAATTAACTGAACGTAATCATTTATTCATCTACTTTAAATGTATACAGTCATACCTTAGCTGACGAACACCTTAGCAGTCGAACGTTTTGCCTCCCGAACACCGCAACCCCGGAAGTGAGTGTTGCGGTTTGCGAACGTTCTTTTGGAAGCCAAATGTCCAGCAGGGCTTCTGTGGCTTCCGATTGGCTGCAGGAAGCTCCTGCAACCAATCAGAAGCTGCACCTTGGAAGTTGAACAGATTTCCAGAACGGATTCCGTTCGGCTTTCAAGGTAAGACTGTACTCTTATAAAACTGCTGGTTATTACAACAATCCTACCAATGTTCTTATCTGTTTATAGTTTATTTGTAAATTTTCAATAAACCATTTCCATTCTTTTATAAAAAAAAGTTTATTATCTTGATTTCTTATTTTTCTGGCAAGTTTTGCCATTTCTGCGTATTCCATTATTTTTTGCATCCATTCTTCTTTCGTCGGGACTGCGACAGGGAGTTTCTCGATTATTTATTTGACACAGTAACAGCTTCTTTCACAAGAGAGTTCTCTGCAACTCAGCGCAGTGATTAACTTAGCCCTGTGTGTCTTATATATTCCACGCAACAACTTGTTCCTTCTCTCCTTCCTGTTCTCCGATGAGATAAATGTATATATTGCTTTCAAACACTCTTCCAAAAGTCAAATGTTCCACCTCTGCTGGTCTTTCACTCTGCCTCTTCAATACTTCTATAGATTGATGTCCTCTCTCTGGTGAACAGGGCTACCGGCATGTGTGTGGAGAAGATGTCCGAACCTGTGTTCAGTGCCAGGCTTGGGGGACTGGAGAGAAGAAGGGAAAGAAATGTGAAAACTGCCGTTACAAGATCCGAGTAGTGGATGAACTGGAACAAGGTACCATGATTTCCTTGATGTTCAGTTGTAGGCCAAAGAGCATGAGTGGTCAACTTTGGCTATCCATATGTTCCTGGACTCCAACTCCCATCCTCCCTAGCCATAAGGTTTGCTGGCTGGGGTTGATGGGAGCTGGAGTCCAGCAACAACTGGAGGGCCACAGATTCCCTATCACTGGCACGGATAGCAGTCCTCCTATTACAGTGCATTGGTGGAAACAAAATTGTGTTCAGTGTAAGAGGTAGCGAACATTAGAGGCATACGCTCCAACAGTCCCAAAGACTTTCACTGTTTTTGGTTACCTTCTCAGGCAAAACCACGGTCCCTATTTTGGCCTTTGGGGGATTTCTTTTTTAAAATGTTGTTAGTGTAAATGGCTAGAGTTGACATATTTCAGGGGTTCAGCTCCCCTGCACCAGAATCTTTAGAAGTAAAATTTCCTGTGTGTGTGTGTACATCTCAAGTGCATGTACATTTAGATGCATGTGCACGAACACTGAAACACCAGGCAATGGACAGCCTGCTACTTCACACACTGCAAGTATAGTTTGAATCATTAAAACATTGTTGTTGTTGTTTAGTCGTTTAGTCGTGTCTGACTCTTCGTGACCCCATGGACCAGAGCATGCCAGGCACTCCTGTCTTCCACTGCCTCCCGCAGTTTGGTCAGACTCATGTTTGTAGCTTCGAGAACACTGTCCAACCATCTCGTCCTCTGTCGTCCCCTTCTTCTTGTGCCCTCCATCTTTCCCAACATCAGGGTCTTTTCCAGGGAGTCTTCTCTTCTCATGAGGTGGCCAAAGTATTGGAGCCTCAGCTTCAGGATCTGTCCTTCCAGTGAGCACTCAGGGCTGATTTCCTTCAGTATGGATAGGTTTGATCTTCTTGCAGTCCATGGGACTCTCAAGTGTCTCCTCCAGCACCATAATTCAAAAGCATCAATTCTTCGGCGATCAGCCTTCTTTAAAACATATTATCATGCAAATATATTTTTTGACTATATCATTTTCTTAACCAAAAAGCAGGTGCCATTCTGTCTTTTAAAGCAGTAGAAGGCAGGCTATTGCAGAGCAAATTAGTATGGGGCAAAATAGACAGACTAAAGGCTATGGCATTACAGCTGAGGCTGAGAGCTTGGGAAGTGGTCTTTGGTATGAGACGAATAGGGGCATTTCCCCCATATTACCATCCGTGATATTTCTACAGAGTACGAAACTGTAGCCTTAGAGCTGTGTTGTGTTCATCACAGGGGAATTGCTTGATGGCGTAATGTAATGACCATCACAGCTGTCCTGAACAGAGCTTCCTTATCAAATGAACCTGCTACTTATTTCAGGAGACATATTGATCAGTGTTCACCAGCTTGTGTATTGCTCACTCTTGCAGAAGCAACTGTGGGCCATTTCATTGCAAATGTAGCAGAGTAATCATGGAATGAACACAGGACCATGCAACACCACACATTAGTTGGGCCTCCTCCTGCCCCATCTTGCACTCACTTTTAAACATGGTGAACATGCTTGCATTACTACCTATGTATGAATAATACACATTATGCTTCCTCCACCTATTTTCAACGGATAAATGCGTACACAGTTGCACATTGGGGTGTACACACGTTCACCATATTAAGATGGTACATCAAATCAAGTGTGTGTCTTGGTTCCAAGGGAATAGCCTTCAGTTCATACAATTCACCAATAGCGTGAACAGGCAAACCTTAACCGTAGAGAATGGTTGCCTTGTTAAAGACAGTGTGCACTGTATCACATTTCTGACTAAGCTATTGCCTTCTGGACAGTGGAACCTCAGCCTGCTGTTTCTCACTGCCCCAAAGACTGGTGTAAGAGTTCAATAAAGCCCTGCCTGATGTGGCTCGCAAAGTCTTCAGAACTTTGCTCCTGTGTTGGTGGCAATAAAGACAATCTCAGGAATGTTGAAGATGTTTTGGTAGCATTTTATAAATTTTCTTTGTCTCTGCAGAGGAAGATCTAAATACAATTTGTTCGTACCAAGATGAAGAGGATGACTGCAGGTACCACTACCGCATGGAAGAGGATTCCAACCCAGAGCTTAATGGCACCATTATTGTGCAAAGGAAGAAAGGTAAGTAATGATGTTCTAGGTAGAGATGCAAGACTGAGGCAGCTCTTTTCTCTCTTTCCAGAATCGTAGTCAGAGTTGTACACTTGCATAGTCTGAAATCTTCTGAGGCATGTTTTAATAATGAAGGCTTAACTAACTCCATTATGCAGATTTCTAGACAAAGTCAAATCTGTGAAACTGATTTCTGATCATAACAGGATCTTCTGCCCCTTAGAAAGCTACCTTAGACATTTGGTCCATCTAACTTGACTGTCAGTGGGTCTCTGGGGTGTCAGACAGAAGTCTTTCCTGGCTCTTCCTGAAGATCCCAGATCCTGTGAACTTCTGCATGGGAAGTAGGAGCTCAGTCACAGAGCTTAGAGCCTTCCCATCATCTTGCCCCCTCACCTGCAGAGACAACCCTATCCTTAGGTAAAATTAGACGGCAGATACTGGAGAGAGGCAGTGAGATTCTGGAGGACACAGCTTTCTGCCTTCAAGCACGATGGAGGACGTTGCCTCTTCTTTGTTGTTGAAGTAAGATTCATTTGCCAGTCTAATTGGATTCTGTAAGTGGAATCAAGAGTGGCTGGAGGACAATATTATCCTCTGCAGAAAATTTCTTAGGCCAGCCCTGCCATAAGGAAGGGCCGTAATTGGGTGGTAGAGTATCTGCTTTGCATGCAGAAGTTCTGAAGGCAAATCCCTGGCACCACCAGGTAGGGTTGGGAGAGAGCCTCTGGGTAGGCAGTACTGAGTTAGATTGGCCAATGGTCTCACTCGGTATAAGGCAGCTTCCTCTGTTCTTCCTCTGTTTTCCCTGCGGTGCCCAAATTCTGTTAGTTTCCCAGCTACCCCTGCCTAACCATGAACGTTTTCCTGTTGTTACAGAGTGCCCATCAGGAAGCTTCCTTTGGCTTATCCCATTAGTCATTTTACTGATGCTCCTCCTGGGGCTGCTTCTTCTGCTGTGCTGGAAGTTCTGTGCTTGTTGCAAGGTAAGATCGCAAGACTCCCACCCTGCAATGAGAAAGGGGAACTTCAGATGGAGTAATGGGTGGCGTGGGTGTGATCTATCTAGCCAAGGGTGGCGAATGAGAGAGAACTTGCCTAATGTAGAGTTCTGGGGAAGTGAAGGCATGTACCAGGCAAGAGTCTAGAGACGCCAGTGCAGATACAGTTCAGGACGCAGGAAATGAAGGCAGGTCAGGAAACAGTCAGGTTCCAGCAAGGCAGTTTCAGAACAGAGGGGAAGCTCGGGTAGAACAAGAAAAGCTGAGGGCCAAAGGACAACTAGGTAGGGAACAGCCTGGATAGCTCTAAGTGGCACCTAGGCTGAAAATCAGACCAGGCAGGCTTGAATGTTGCTGTGTAGCAAGCCCCATCCCTGATGAGTGGATCTTCTGGTCTCAACTACCCCGGGGAAGATGTTTGTCCTCCAACCCATAGTTTTGTTTTTCATCGTCACGTTCAAAAGAATTCCCTCTCCTAACTATTGCTGTGCTTTTTTTCTCCACTTAGGGTTGCCTGGCTCTGCTACCCTGTTGTGCACGAGGTACCTTCTTTTGAATTTATATGTGGTCTTTGGGGTGGGTGACACATTGCATGGGGATGGGGAGAGGAAGGCCTAGATACTGTAAGGTTGGCAGCTGAGTTAGCCACTTGTTTTATCTGCCCCTGAACACTGCTAGGCAACTGCTGTCTGTGGTCTTAAGGCAAGCAAGGATTTTCTAAGCCCGTTACCAGATGCCCTTTGGTTTTGGAGATGTGAAGTATCGCTATCTGAAGCCTCATATCATCAAAGCACACACATGACACTGAATCGTGTGATTCCCTAGATTGTAAAAGACAAGGCCTGAGGCAAAATTCTGAAGCCTGTCTTGTTAGGCAGAACAGAGCCAGGACTACTACTGGAGCTCTGATTACAGTGTCCTGGAACATGGCAGAGAAGCATCTGTCACACAAGAAACTACATCAACAGTAACCTCAGTTTAAGCCATTTGTGTGCAAATTTATTAGCTTGTATTTGTGGGGCTTGCGCCACACTAATCTCTTAGACTTTTCTTACTCTCAGTCATGTTGCATGATGGGCACAGGGGTGGGTAGGATGGGCTCTGCATTCATTCCCTGGAAACCAAGCAGCCAGACTTGACTGACATTTGTATCAGGAAAATATTCCCATTTGAGAGTATATACTGTAGGGAACCATGGTCAGTCAGGAGTGCTCTTTACCATGTACCCATATTACTACCCTGAGATCTACAGATGAAGGGTGGTATACAAAAATACATACATACATACATACATACATACATACATACATACATACATATTCAGTGTGTGTGTGTTTTAAAAAGTATCTCAGTACACCAAATGTTTAGTTTCTGGCATATATAATATGGGTACATGCTAAAAATGTAACATGTGAATCAAACAAAGGGCATGGAAACAAGGACCATTGTTATGTGAGCATAGAGACCCACAGGTCAAAAGAGGGCAGGTGTTTGGCAGCAGTATACAATAATACAGCCTGCTGCCAGCAACCTGAATTCCATTTACCCAACTAAAAGTGGCTCTCATCTAGAAAAAATCCTGGGGAAACCTTGCTAGGTAGGTAACAGGTTGTTTCTGCTTTTGAAGTGAGGTCCTCTTATTCCGCTTACTCTTGTGTATGGGAAAGATGTCAAGCTTAAACAGGGCCGTTGCTGTTTCTATGTTCTAACTCCTCTTCTTTCTCCAAAGGCCGCACTGTTGGTTTCAAGGAGGACCACTACCTGCTCAGAAAAAGCCTCATGACCTCGGACCACCTAGACACTCCCATGGTTCGCAGCGGCAACCTGAAAGGCAGAGACACAGTTCACTGGAAGATCAACAACAATGTGCATAAGGAAGGCTTCTCTTCCTTAGCTCTCAATCCCAAGGACCTGAGTAAGTGCCCGTTTTGCAAGGTGGAGAAGGGGCTAACTGGAGCCAAAGATGGTGGAGGGGGGAAGTGGTCCCTCTGTCCTCTCAGAATCTGATCCTAAGCTGATTCGAACATGCACATTCCTCTCACATGAATGCATGTGGGAAATTACTTCCCCATGTCATAATCTCTCTCCAGTTAGTTAAGTTGTCTGTGTAGCTTGAAACCTTATCGCTGAGGGCTTGAAACCTTCTTCCCTGCTGGCTTTCCACTTGAAAAGGGATTTGACACTGGAGCTTCTTCAAACAAGGGGCATTCATTCACCCCTGGCTTTCTTTTTAAGATGATACAGCCATACAAGAGAACAGTATCATCATGAGCAACTGTGCTGATAATTTATCTGTTAGAGATCCCTAGGTCTCTCACGCAACTACAGTTGACTGATGGGAAGGAAACAGGATCACTATTAAATCAGATTATGTGTGTTTGACAGACATGTCCTAAATCAGATTCTAGTCTTTGATTTCAAAATTAAACTAACAATAATAAAATGGCTCTACTGCTTCTGCCCGCCCACCCCCATTGCTACATCTCATGTCTCCACATGCATGCTATTTGCTGGTAGTGTTTCTTGCTGATTGATTTGTTTCCTTGAATCCAGTTCCATACGGAGTGTCTCTGAGACTGGCCCGGCTCTTCACCCAAAACCTTGCAAAACCAGATAGCCGTGAGCATGAGCAACTGCAAAAGGATGTGGAGGAGAATGTAAGGAGCAGGAATAATGCTGCCTACTGGGTTTGCTACTGAGGAATGGGTGGGCAGGGGGAATACAATCAAGCCAATGCAAGCTTCCTTTTATTGGATTTGAGTTAAGAGACAGCATATGGTTGTTGTCTGCTCAACATAAGGAAATCAAGTGGAATTAACTAAACCCCTTAATCTGGACATTGGGCTGAACACCAGGAAATCTGAGTTAGTGACACTCTCTCTTGCTCTTCACAGCTCAATGAGGTTTACAGGATTATCCCTGGTGCCCACAAATTTCAGCAGACAAAATTCAGGTGAGTTACTTTGGGAGGGGGCAACTGGCATGTAGAGAAGCAGTGAGATCTCTTCCAGTGGGTGCACCTTTTAAAGATGAGAATGGGTAAAACATGGCTGAACGTCTGGTGTGATTAAGTGTAGGGGGGCATCCTTGGAAGAATATAGAGAATATAAAGTAGTAGGATTAGAACTCTTGTCCCAACAGCTTTCCCCAGGTCAGAGTGTGTATGAAGCTTGAAAGGCCAAACCAAAAAATCTATGTCTTTCTCCTTGGATTGTAATTAAAATTATGCATATTGTCTGTTTACTCTCCAGGCTGCAGCCAAATGCTGGGAAAAGGTAAGGAATTCATTTCTTGGTTTCCATCTAGGTGTAGACGTTTGGATACTTTCCATTGCTGTGCTTATTCTGTGAGAGTTTTCACCCACCACTCAGAAACTGTGATGTCTTCTTACAACTGTATCATTAGCATCGTTGCTCTCTGCACTGCAGAGATCATCATCTTCTTTGCCAGTTAACTTCTCACTGCTTGTGGGATGGAAAGTAGATCAATGTTAGCCCTTCCTAAGCAGAACTAAGAGCTGCACTCAAACTGCCCCTGCTGTGTGAGCAGAAATGGTCGTTCTATTGTCCCTTCCCATGCCTTCAGAGTTTTTGATTTGATGTCATGTTTGTATCTCAACAACAATGCTGAACTCAAAGCAGCTCACAATTATAATTTGTCTACCATGTTTCCCTGTGACGAACGCTGTAGCAGAGGAAGTGGATTCACTTACTCCAGGGAACTGTGACTGGCCAATAGTTTTTGCAGACCTGTGTTACCCCTTCAGTGTGGTAGTAATGTTTATTCTATGGATATGCTGCAAGCACTCCCTATTTGAGTGGTGTGAAGTAGCTTTCATCTGGCCCCATTGCTGTGGAAAGAGTCTTCACACTGGCACTTGTTCCAGATCAGTGGCTGAAAATCATTGTGTATAAGAGTATGTGAGCAGTGACTTTATATCGCCAATAGCCAAGGTAAACAGATCCTGATCTTCCTCTCCCCCCCCCATCCCCCCTGCCTTCTTCAGACAGGACCACACAATCATGGACACAGTGCTCCCTGCTCCCCGCTCAGCCAAGAATGAGATTGTGAAAGTAACAGAGAAGCATGTCGCACAAGAGGCTTTCAACGATCTGAAAGTGTCCCCCGGTTACTACACTGTAATCTCTGACCAAGGTAGGTGATGATGAATGCTACACTTTGTCCTAGTTCTCACCAAGGTTGTAAACCTCTGTCTGGACTTTATCCATGTCCTACAGCAGGTAGGGGCTCATAAGATGTTAAGCTCTTCTGTACAAAACATTCCCTCCACATAGAAAACCAGAAGATTCTACTCTAGCCTTCTCACTGACATATTGTGAAGGCATTTCGTTTACTTTTATTGAGGAGCAGTCAACAAGGTGGGATTCCACCTGCTGTCGGAACTAATGCCGCCTAGACACAGGTTTACGACCAGCTGATGGCTAGGCCTCCAATGAAAGCCAAGAGTTGCATGTTTTTCTAAAGAACTCCTTCCCCTCTAAACATCCTTTTTTGTGCTTCCATCCCTACATCCCTACCCAAGATGCTCACGGCATGGTAGAGTTTCAGGAAGGAGTGGAGCAGGTGGATGTCCGGGTTCCCCTCTTCATCAGGGAAGAAGATGATGATGAAAAGCAGCTGCAAGTGGAGGCCACTGATGTCCCTGTGGGAACTGCAGAAATTGGGCGCCGGCTTGTCAACATCACCATTATTAAAGAGCAAGGTAAATGTGTCCATAGGCCAATCAGTTAATGATGGCACATTCAACTCAGGCAACATTCTCAGACAAGGTCTCTGGGCAGTCTGAAAACTCCTTGGTCCTGGATTCCTGTAAAGCAGCAGTAAGCTAACTTCTCACCCTCCAGATGTTTCTAGACTACAACTCCCATCATCTCTAACCATTGGTTATGTTGTCTGGGACTGATAGGAACTATAGACCAACAACAACATCTGGGGGAGGCACAGGTTCTCCATACCTCTTGTACAGCCATATGTAGAGATACACATCACTTTATATGTGCTGCAGATGAACATGGTGACCTTTTGTGGATTGAATTTTAGATCTATATCATGGCAGTGCTCTGACTACCTTTCTCAGTTCTACAGAGTATCCTTGGGTGATTAATTGTTGTATTGGAACTAGTTAGCCACCGAATGTTAGAAAACAAGTTAGGGTAATATTGAAGTGTGGGTTTTGTTCTATGAGTTGTGGCACTTAGTAGACACCATATCACCATTACCACTGTCTCTATATCCCTTTAGCAAACAGCATCATTCGCTTCCAGGAGCCAGCTTATTCATACAGCCGCTTCGACCAGGTGGCTAAGATCCCTGTACTTCGTGACATACTGGACAACGGGAAGTCTCAGATAACATACAGGACACGGGATCTCACTGCCCAGGAAGGCAAAGTAAGCACAATAGAGCTGACTAATAGGGGGAGAGCCTTGATAGCCATGGTTATAGGAAGACCCTTTGACAGTTGTGCAGCCATTATATGATCCTAGAGATGTAGAAAATATTTGTGTTGCATCAGTACACTGTTTAGCGAACTCTTTCTCTCTCTTCCCAAGGATTATGTTTTTGCAGAGGGTGATATAGTCTTCCAGCCTGGGGAAAAGCGGAAAGAGGTGCAGGTGAAATTGCTGGAGCTGACTGAGATAGACGCCCTTCTTCGCAATCAGCAGTTGAAACAGTTTGCGGTGGATCTCATCAACCCCAGGTTCGGTGCAAAGGTTGGCAAATACCCTCAAACCATTGTGACAATTGCCGATCCAGGTGAGCTTCATCAATTTCTGAGGGCAAGCACCTTTTTTATCTCTGTTTATCTGCCAATTTGTTGTTCTATTTTGTATAAAAGCTTGAACCTGTCAGACAAACATCATTGCCGAGACTTCAGCAAAAAAGCTGGTGCATAAGAGATACCAAATCTAGATTCCCATATCTGAGCTGCCAGTGTAGTCCAGTGAGTAAACAAACAAACCCCTGTGTTGCAAAATATGAGTCAGCAATATCAAAAGCAACACAATGGCCAGAAACAATTACAATGTGAAAAACTTCATGGACTGATTCAAAACTTCAAAACTAGCAAACTGAAGTCTCTGAAAGTCTCTGAAAGTCCTTAAATGAATCCCGGTGCCAGACTTTACCCAGCGGAGTGCAAGCTGTGAAGCTTTGTATAATAAGCAAATGTCCAATTCTGATGTCCAACTCTGAACTCTGCTGAACAGTGTTTCTGGATAACAACTACTGTTTCATTGAATTCTTCATCAGCCAGTTAGTTCAACACTCGTGAGTAGAAAGAAATGTAATTTCTTCATTAACCAATCTTTTTTCGAATAGATATAATATACCGCTGGGTAAAGTCTGGCACCGTGATTCATTTAAGGACTTTCAATGTAGTCCAGTGAACAGAGAGCACTGGAGTCCTGGGTTCAAGCCTCCCCTCTACTGTGTTGCTGTACACTTCAGTGGGATATGCCTTACCATGGGTGGCCAATGATATATTTTTGAATGTTCTAGTTGTGCATGATGCATGTGTAACAAAGCAGTGAAGTCCAGTAACCAGGTGTGTTTGGTCAGAGACTCAACACTGCTTGCTTGCAGTAATGAATTAGTCTTTAGGTGGTTGCTAATATTCTACTGCTTCTCTTAACTTCTTCTACACTACTCTTCTCATCAAGTCCCCTAAGGAGAAATTTTCTATGAGGAAGTTTGGTAGTTTTGCCCCTTGGCTTAGTATTTCAGCTCTGATTTCCTAGTGCAATCTGTACTGGGGGAACTTCCCCATCAGACCAGGCAAGCAATGGCTCGTGTGATGTTCTAAGAATTAATGGCTGTAAACAGGGTAGCATCTTTTTAGACAAGGACAAAGGCAGACTTGTAAATCTACCTGCAGAAATCAGTTATGCTCTGAAAATGCTGTGGTTGTGCTAATCCACCTTAGGGTGTGAATTAAATGTTGTGCTCTACCAGTCGTTCTGTGATTGCAAGCACTTCAGTTTGCCCAGTGGAACAATCTCCCCTCTTATCCACCTGCTGCTGTCCTAGAGGTCTCCTAACTCCCAGAGTTGTTATGGGGGGGAGGAGCAGAGGGAGGAAAGGAGAGAAAGTCCCATCGCCTTAACAGGACTCATTGCGCTGGCTTCCACTAGTTTGCCTACTTAGCAGAATATGGCTTAAATTGTTGTCTGCATGCAAAAGGTTTCATTTATTTGCACTCATGATAGACTCTGAAGAAGCAACCTCAGCTGCTTTGTAAAATAAGAATAAAACGCTAAATTTAGTCTGAAAGGCTACAGGTTTTTTTAAATCGCATAACCGCCACCTGGATACACTTAAGGTGCTTTCAGAAGTGCATCCTAATATGTTTATTGTTAGAGTGGCTTCCCCCCCTCTCCTCCCTCCACCCCACCCCCAAATTGGCTGGGGGGGCATCAGGAGAACTCCCAGAACATTGTAGGTGGGGAGAGGGGGGGATCATGTGCCTTAGCACAACACTGAATTCCTCTCTTCATCTCCTCTGTACTGTACACAACTCTTCATTAACAGGCAAGAGTGCTTCTATGAAAAGCAAACAGCAACAAAGTGGTAAATATCTCACAAACCACAGAAAATAGTTAACAATGAGTTTGATCCAGATATAGATGAGTGGAACTCCACTCACACAGCTGACTTTTCTGGACTTATTCTACATTAGCCCAAAGACTCTGTTAGCCAGTGATTGATTCCAGCTAGCTATTTTTGTCTAATGTTCTGTTCAAGTTTATATACTAGATGGGTGAGTTGGAGTCAGCCATGGTGGTATGAGTTGACAGAGTCACACACCTGTGGTACTTGAATCCACAACCTTTAATGGATGCAGTCAAGCGCCTTTACCATTCAGTCCACATGCCTCTCTCTTGGGATGTGGTTAAAGAGACAAACGAAGCCGTTCTGTTTTTTTTCTCCTGCAGAAGCTGTGGATGGCTTAGCATCAGCGAAACTCCTAGGCCAGCAACTGCAGCCTCCCAGAGGCATACTTGGAGCTCCCCTTAATCCAAATGCACAGGCACTAACCTCTAGGAAGATCCGATTCAACTGGTTGCCACCTCCTGGCAAACCTGCAGGGTACAAGGTATGGACCTGCCAAGCAATAAAACTAATTATTATGAATGTGGGGGTACAATCTTGGTTGACACTTGCACTGAATTCAGGGCCTAGAGTGGCTTCCCTGCAGGTCAGTGTAGTCCTGCCCTCCTATGCCCAGCATTCACTGCTGCTGCTTCTCTCCTTCTCATGATACATCACATCAAGCATAGCACTCTGGAGTCATTCAATATCTCCCAAGGTTTATGAAGATGTGGATGTTCTAAAATGGGGGGGGGCAGTCATGAATTGCGTTCTGTGGATGTCATGTTTTAGAATGGGGACTTTCCTTAACTGATCACATGGTGGTTTGTTATTCTTGATGATGTAAGCAAGACTTTGAAAGCAAATGGGATTCTCTTTGGCCTCCAGGTGAAGTACTGGATCCAAGGGGACCCTGAGTCAGAAGCTCGCTTGCTTGATTCGAAGGTGCCATCAGCGGAGTTGACTAATCTGTATCCCGACTGTGATTACGAGATGCAGTCCTGTGCCTACAACGATATGGGCGAGGGGCTTTACTCCGAAGTAGTCCACTGCCGCACACTTGAGGACCGTAAGTAGGCATATTCCATGGCGGACGAGGGAGGAATTCAACATCGCACTAAGGTGCTGTTGGGGCAAGCATTTCGGCTTGCCAGATGAGGCAAAGTGTTTTAAATGTGCTTTAAATTTGGGCTGCATACACACCATGCATCTAAAGCACATTTGAAACATCCCCTAAATAATCCTGGGACCTGTAGCTTGTTAAGGGTGCTGGGAATGTTAGCTCTGTGAGGGGTAAACTACAGCCACCAGAATTCTTTGCGGGAAAGCAATGTGCTTTAAATGCAGTTCTTTTTTCCTAAAAAAAAATGTTTAGGGGGTACTCTCATTTTGACTCAAGAAAACCACCATTTTATAGTTCAAATCGGGGGGAAATAAATACAGTAAATAGACAAAAGTACAAAGATTCACAAAATGTTTAGGGGTATGCGTACCCCCAGAAAATAGCACTGTTTAAATGTATGATGTGTACACAGCCCTGCTTTAAATCTATGGTGTGAATGTGACCATAGACAGTCTAGGCAAGACACTACACAACAAATGCTGTGTTTATAAGGAAAGGAAGCAAGAAAATAAGAGAAATATTCAACATATCAAAGTAATTCTGCGTGTCAACTTCATTCTGAGCTCTCTGGTCCCTGATGCTAAGGGTAACATTGATGAATGAATACTAAGAAACAGGTTCAGTAAGAAAGACTGAGACTGCAATCTTGTGCACATGTACCTTTCTCTCATTGAATTCAATGGAACTTGCTTCTGAGTAGACATATATAGAATTGCACTGTTGGTGATATAAAGTCTCATTGCTGCGCTTTAGATCAATGTTAACCTAGAATCATAGAAAAGGGACCTTGGCCATCATCTAATCTGAGCTGGCGCTTAGTATAGAATCTACAGGGCTGGATGATGATGCAAATGCAGCACCCCTGGCAGATGGCCACCTGGAGATAGCTCAGTCTGTAGAGCATGAGACTCTTTATCTCAGGGTTGTGGGTTTGAGCCCCATGTTGGGCAAAAGATTTCTGCATTGCAGGGGGTTGGACTAGGTGACTCTCATGGTCCCTTCCAACTCTACAATTCTGGGAATCTATGAAATACTGTTAAATAAAGCAGGCTTGTTGCTCTAGAGAGCAGGACTAGAATGAATAGGTGAAGATTACAAGAAAACAGATTTTGGCTAAACCAGAGGTTGTCAACCGTTTTCGCTTGTGGAATTTTGAGAAAGTGCCCTGACTGTAAGTCACAAAATTTCTGTTGTGAAGGTATGGCATGGCACATCAAAAAGAACAAAAAAGGGGACAGGATCCCAAAATAGAGCAGGCATGCCACTTCTTAGTCCCGCATCAATGGGAGAGAGGCACCTACACCAGCCACTCACTCATAGAGAGAAGCTCTTTGTACCTCTCCTCTGATGAGAACAGAAGGGAGGGTGGATGTCCAGTCCTGGCATCCAATGAAATGTGGGCATGTTCAAGGGGGTGTGTTCAACGCAGGAGAGACCAAGCCAGTGCAAACTAAGCAGGAAGAGCACAGTTTCTTGATCATTGTGGATTTATGAGGACATATTTGCTAAGACCTTTCATGGGTACCAGAGGAGATATTGGTGGGCACAGTGATGATCACAGACACCATGTTGGTGATCCCTGGGCTAAACACTAGGAGAATGGTAAGAGTGATTCAACAGTGGACTAGACTACCTAGGAAGCAATAGATTTTATAGGATTTGGTTGAAAATAACTTTCCATAGATTAATTTGAGATGTTACCAGCCTCATCCGCTGGGGCTGTTGTTCACATTCCATTAACTGCATTAAGTGTATCCAACTGTTCCCATGTTCTTGCCTTTCTTTCAACTTCACAGTTCCTAGTGAGCCTGGGCGCTTGGCTTTCAATGTAGTCTCTTCCACTGTGACACAGCTGAGCTGGGCTGAGCCTGCCGAAACTAACGGAGTTATCACAGCCTACGAAGTCAGCTATGGACTTGTCAACGAGGTCAACAGTAAGCGTGGATTCTGTTTGCTACCCTTATCATGCTACAACCTTGCAAGCTGTTATTCCGGGCTGAACTAGTCAGCATCTTTTTGGCAATTACTCAGTTGTGAGCGTTTAGAGAATGCCAACGGAGTCTGCCGTTGTCGAATCTCACAGTGGTAGAGCTGCAGACAAACCCCAAATCATGGTGATTAGAAGCAAAACATAGATCTACTCCCCAGCCCCATTTTATCCTCACAACACACCCCTGGGAGGTTGGCCCAAAATCATCTAGTGAGCTTCATAGCAAAGTGGGGATAAGCTCATAGGAGGAGCACTACTGGATCAAAACAAAGACCCATCTAGTCCAGCATTCTGTTCTCAAAGTGGCTAACTAGATGCCTATGAGAAGCTCCTAAGAAGGACATGACTACAGCAGTAGCAGTCTTCCCACTTGTGATTCATGGATGCTAGAGAACCTTGAACAATTCAAGCCACTTGCATGCACTCTATGGCATTAAAATCTCCCTTTGTTTTGAGTTTTGCCCTCAAAAATATTACAACGCTCTTTCAATGGGGTCAGCAGAAGGCTGGGATATCATTGGAAAGGCATACTGTCTTTAGCATAAATCAAAGATGGTCAACATGGAACGAGGCAAAAACAGCAATTGAATGGGGAAAGGTATTTACATATACATTCTGTTTACAGGACCTGTTGGGCCCGTAAAGAAAGTCATGGTGGAGGGTGCCAAGAAGCGAATGGTTCTGATTGAAAACTTAAGGGAATCGCAGCCCTATCGCTACACAGTGAAGGCCAAAAATGGAGCTGGATGGGGTCCTGAACGAGAAGCTACTATTAACTTGGCCACACAACCCAAGCGCCCTATGTCCAGTGAGTTATATAGCCAAGCTTGTGCCATTCAGATCTTGTTTTTCACTTGGAATGATTCTCATTTATTCGGCATGCTTGATATGTCCACCATAGAATTTGCATTTCAATTGGGTGTGTCTGTGTTGCATGATATATTTTGTTCCTGGAGGGAGCATGTCCCATAGAATGTAGTTGCACAGGTGTCATGGACACCTTTTGACTGTTGATTGTTTTGACATTTGGTAACGAGCATCAAACTATTTATGAACTTTTTTAAGTGTGTGCATTAATTAGCAGCTGTCTTATCCTGTCATGCAACCCTAGTGCTGGTGCACACATCCCTTTTTTAAATGAACACCAATGAGCTGTTATCCATCCATCCCTCTCCTCTACCACAATGAAACTATCCCCTGTCACTCAATCTGAAATATCACAGGAACTAGATTGAAGCTTCTGCTGCTATCACTTTAAAAATAAAATATGTTTGGGGTACATTAGTTTAAAATCTATAGAAAGCCCTTAGTATACGAATACTTTCTGTTTTCTTGCAGTTCCCATCATCCCTGATGTGCCAATAATTGATGCTGAAGGAGGAGAGGACTATGATAGCTACCTGATGTACAGCGCAGATGTCCTGCGCTCACCAGCTGGTAGCAAACACCCCAGTGTCTCAGATGATTCTGGTACAGTCCATTGCTGAAGTTTGCAAAAATGTTTTGTTTTGTTTCTTGGAGCCTTAGATTTCTGGAGAATGTAAAACCAAAAACATATTACCAAGCAATTTCTAGCCACAAGTCAAATAGCTTTTCTTATTTCAAGGCAGAGAAACCCCTACTTGTGGAAACTTAAGGTGTGCTTTACATCTTCTGCTTCTAACACATTTGAATTCACTAGGGACTTGTATCAAAGTGCATCCCATGGCATCTGTGAATGCAATGCAACGGCTTCTGTAGACTGTAGCACTTAAGGGAATGCTGTGATGAGTACCATCCACTGCCATGTGGCTTAGTTAAGTGCAGAGCCTAGATGCACTCGCAGAACTTTATGACAATCAAGTATTAGGCCATGTGACTGTGTTGCAAGCAAATAACAGGACTGATTAAGATGTGCCGTTAGTGCACCTCTGCTGAGGAACACGTTCTGTGCAATAAACGCAGAAGGCTCACAAGGAGGAACAAAAAACAGGAACACTTCACCAGCCAACAGGTCCTGTGGGAGAGCTACCTTTCTGACCTGAAATATGGGGCACTGGTTAACAGAGTCTGTCTTCCAAACTCCATAAAGAAATATATGCAATGTTTCAGCTCAGCAACGCACATTTACGTATAAAATTTCCACCCCCTCTCCACCTTTAGCACTGTTGCTCCCAGCAAATGTATGAGAAAATGTTATAGTGAGAGGAGAATATTTAAAGTTGCTACTGTCCAGGTGGAGAACAGCTGGCAGGCTACAGGCCATCAAAGAATCTGGCACACTTAAGTCCATTGAATTAATGGGCTGACATATGCATCTAAGTTTGTGTTGGGCTATGTGCATAGCATGTATTACCGCCAGGAATTAGAGGCAGCAAGCATCTGACTATCAGTCACTGCAGGGTGCCGCAGGGCGATTCTGTACTTATGTTTTGTATGAAGCCTTATGTAGGCATCTGGTTGGCTACTGTGTGAGATGGGATGCAGGACTAGATAGGCCTTTGGTCAGATCCAGCAGGGATCTTCTTTTGTTGTTATGAATGGTAACTGTATTCAATAATATATAATGAACCAGAGAGCTATAACCTGTTAGTTATAATCTGAATATAATTTTAAGGAAGCTTTCTTAAAACCGCAACTCTATTGGAACAGGTTTGCCATTTGTTTCACTGCAATGAAGCACACAAATCTGAACGTATGTGGATCTCTGGTTCAAGGCTTCTATTCCTGCTGCTCTTTAAATTGGCCGAAGCTTCTTGTTGACACCAGCTGCGGTTAATTCTCTGAAACCATTCACCTTTGACTTTGCTGCGTTATCATTTCCTTTTCCTTAGTAAACAATGCTTTCAGAAGCTGAGGATGTTGCAGTGAAAAACCTACCAATATTGCCCATCATAATTGCAAAATACTTGCTTTTTTCTGCAGAGATTAGGCTATATAAATAAAAACAGAAGTGACAGCTACTTTTGGAGTCTTGAAAGCCTTATATACTTGGCTAGATGGTTGATTTTTACAAAGAAAGGTTCTGGATCCAACTTTCTGGTCTTGAAGCCTTGTCCCTTAACTCTAGACAAGTAGAGGGTGGGGAGAGGTGGCTGTAGCTATGCAGTGCTTCACATGCTCAGATGCCATCTATTTAAGACTGCATTTATTTATTTTAAAACATTCTTTATACTGCTTTATATATAAATTGTCCGAAGCCAGTGTACAACCGTAAAACATAACAACTGAAAGAACATTGTTAAGCTAGTCATATTAAAACAGTTTCCAATAAGCTGTAGCATGTACAATACCAAGTATCAGGAAACACTGGATACGTTTCTAACATTCATTGCAAACATAGGTGGTGCATGCTGTGTTCTGTAAGGAGGTTGTTCCTGCTCCTGTAATCAAGGCTCTTTTTACTGTTGGTTTGGGGATGGATTTCCAAAGGCTGTGGTACTGAACTCAGTGGGACTTGCTTTATAAAAAGGAAACATGCATAGCATTCTGTACAAATAGGTAGTGCCCCACGTGCGGGCTGCTTAAATGGGCAAGGGGCAGATCCAAGGGAAGCCTACCTGCTCTGTCGGCTCCGCCCCCTGGCGCAGCCCAAGTCCCCAATCTGCATCCCCATTAGCCAAAGCTGGGTGCAGGCTAGGATCCAGTTCCTGATAGGAGAAGGGGACTTAAAGCCCCACCACTTATAAGGAACGGCATCACTGTTCCAGTTCCCTTGTTGGGGCCCCAGTGAAGTTTCTGCTGTCCTGCAACGCTGCCACACCAAGAGGGGTAAGCGGTCTGGAGTGAAAGGGGAGGAAAGCAGAGGGAGGCCACCCTTTTTATCTTTTGTGTGACAGCCCCCTTAGCTACTGTTTTGAAAGAGTGTGTGTGCGTGTGTGTGTGCATGTGTGTGTGTGTGTGTGTGTGTGTGTGTGTGTGTGCATGCGCCGGTGCGCAACATAATTTGACTAAACTTGGGAGAGTGGGGCTTGTGGATTTCACTAAGAAACTTAACCTCCATATGCTGAGCACTAGTTCAGTTGGCACAGTGCGTGAGTGAGGCAGGCCACTTACCTGCCTGGCGAGGCAAATGCTGCTGTTGATGAGCTCTGTGCTGTCCCCGTAAGTCAGTGCTAGGACTAGGTGAATAACGAAGGGCTGCAGCGGGTAGCTTGCAGGTGGCGGGCTGCCTGCTTTTATTGCGCCCTTCTGATTATGCCAACGCAAGTGCTTGACTTGTTCCAAAAGGCTCTCGGTGGAAATATGTGCAGCTGCTAGGGGAGGAGCTGGACCTTCGACGCGTCGCCTGGAGGCTCCCAGCAGAATTGATCCCTCGTTACTCGGACAGCAGCTGCTTTTCCTCGGACACAGAGGGTCTCCTCCATGAGGATAGCACCCCTTCTGAGCTAGTGGACAGTGATGCAGCCAGCCGCAGTCTACCAAGGAGTGGGACTCCCCAGCCCCAACCAGGTGAAGGACGACTGCCTTCTTCCCTCCCTCCCAGTAACTGTTGTGTCTCGTCCTCCTCCCAAGGGCCTAGAACCAGGTTTTAGCCTTCCCATCGCTACAGTAGATACATGTTGGTGTTGGTGTTGGTGCTGGAGTAATATATTTGGCCACCTGTAACAGAGTCTGCTTGCATAATGTTGTTGTGATCTGTCTGTGTATAGTATGCATTGTGCAGTGCCAAGGTCATCACCTACCCTAGGTATGAATTGGGAAAGTGCTAAGAGGCTGCACCTGCAAATGGCATGGATCCTTTCAACCAGTGCTATTTTTCTAGAAAAGGAGGTGTCAGAACTGACCATGAACACCTCCCTCGTTCTCTTAGAATGGCAATGGTGCCTGCCTGAGAGGTGCCGGAACTGAGTTCCAGCGAGTTCTGGCTGAAAAAAGCCCTGCATTCAGCATAGCAGATTTTTTAAAAAGAGTGTTGTCTACAGCCACCCTCTGAAAGAACTTGTGGCATTAGCAGTGGTACTTTGTGAGTTTACCCGCTTTCAACCCGATGACTAAATGGGAAAGGTTTTCCACAGAGAAACCCAGTTATGGAAAGCAGAACCGTCTTTGTTGTTCAAAAAAGTTATTTTAATTCTGTTGAACTTGGCCGATCTTCTTGGTAACTTCTCAGGGTAAGAACCAGTTTCTAATAAGAACAGGAATTATTTCATTGTTTTGAACAGGGCCACTGGGTGTACCCAGAAACTTACTAGTCAGTATAAGGCAACAGCTCCTCCTAGTTTCGTGTGGGTTTTTCAACATCCCCCCAATTTGAAAAAAATAATAATAATTTTCTTCTAAAACAGACAAAGGTTCATGTAGGGGATGGTACACTATGTAGTCAATCACTCACCTTGCCTTTAATTCATTCCAGTGGTCGTTCAGAAATTGATAACTTGTATAGCCATTTGGAAGGAGCCAATGCTTTCTAGTTTTCATTCTATAACGTTCATTTTAGTAAATGCCTCTATCTAGTCTTGCATTCTGTTTCTGATGGTGGCCAGCCAGATACCACTGAAGAGCTCACAAGCAGGGCACAAGGGTGATGACCACCCCCAGTTGTTTATCCCACAGGTACAATGCCTCTGCCTGGGACACGGGTGGTGCTGTGGGTTAAACCCCAGAGCCTAGGACTTGCCGATCAGAAGGTCGGCGGTTCGAATCCCCGCGACGGGGTGAGCTCCTGTTGCTCGGTCCCTGCTCCTGCCAACCTAGCAGTTCGAAAGCACGTCAAAGTGCAAGTAGATAAATAGGTACCACTCTGGCGGGAAGGTAAACAGTGTTTCCGTGCGCTGCTCTGGTTCGCCAGAAGCAGCTTAGTCATGCTGGCCACATAACCCGGAAGCTGTATGCCGGCTTCCTCAGCCAGTAAAGCGAGATGAGTGCCGCAACCCCAGAGTTGGCCACGACTGGACCTAATGGTCAGGGGTCCCTTTACCTTTTTACAACGCCTCTGAATCCAGAGGCTCCATTTAGCTGTTAAGGCTGATAGCTGTTAGGTATATTTGCCTTACATGAACGTATTATATTAATGTCAGCATGTTTCTAACCAGTTGCTTGTGGTCATGTCTCGTCTTTTACCAAGGGTCTGAAACCAGGCTTTAACCTGTGGTTGGTTGGTTGGTTGGTTGGTTGTAAAATTGATTTAAATCATGCTAATAGTTTCATTTGCAGGGTTTCCCATGCAAAGTCAATTCAGTACTAAAATATATGGCGTCACTTTCTTACTCAAGCGTCCCCTTTTCTGATTTTAATTGCCTGCTGGGGAAGTCTGTTTAGTTCTTAACAGCATCTTGACATGGCTGAGTACTGGAGCTTCCTTTGGCACTGTAGTTTTAAGTGATGTGGTGGTGGTGGGGCAGTTGTTGCATTTTTGCTTTTCATGAGGCTGACAATAGTTGACGTGAAGCCACAAAATGACTTGCAGCTAAAGATTGGAATAAAGCCCAGGCACTGGGAATGTTCTGACAGATCTTTCGTACACAGTCTCTGTTCGGCTTAATTAGCTTGGTATACATATCCACAGATATTGATCATGAACGTTGTTAACTTTAGCGAATGGAATCTTTTCCAGAACACATGAATGGCCGAATGGATTTCGCCTTCCCTGGCAGCGTTGGAAGCCTGACCCGGAATATGACAACAAGTTACAACCATCTAAGTCCACATGTATACCACGAGAGAAGGACAATAGGAAGCTCATCTCAGACAAGGGAGTATGCCACAGTGGTGTCTGGGCAAGGTGAGTGTTGAGCTGAACATCATCCCATAACCAGTTAATCTACTTGTGATATGAAGTTCCCTCCTGCCCTCCACTAGAAGTAGCAAACTGGTTAATAAGGAAACTTTGGCTATGTACACATTACTGTTTACTCTGGCTCCAGTGCGCTCCCATTCCTGGTGTTTGAAGCTGAATATACGCATGGCATTAGCTGCAATCCATATGCATCCTATGGGGACATGGGTGGCGCTGTGGGTTAAACCACAGAGCCTAGGACTTGCCAATCAGAAGGTCGACGGTTCGAATCCCCGCGATGGGGTGAGCTCCTGTTGCTCGGTGACAGCTCCTGCCAACCTAGCAGTTCGAAAGCACATCAAAGTGCAAGTAGATAAATAGGTACCACTCCTGCGGGAAGGTAAACGGCATTTCCGTGCACTGCTCTGGTTCACCAGAAGCAGCTTAGTCATGCTGGCCACATGACCCGGAAGCTGTACGCCGGCTCCCTCGGCCAATAAAGCGAGATGAGCGCCGCAACCCCAGAGTCGGCCACAACTGGACCTAATGGTCAGGGGTCCCTTTACCTTTTATATGCATCCTATAGTTTATTGAGAAATGCGCCCTATTTGGTGCACTTTCCCTCAAACCAGCTTCCGTCTATTTGAAAATGCAAGTCATGGTTAAGCTGAGATGCGTACCGTGAAGACAGATATTGCACACGTGCAGATAACAACACATGTATAGACAACTTCATCGAATAGGAGTTATGGGGGTTGCATGTCCAGGGAAACAAATCAAGCAATGCACATCTGGTGAAGACATCCCCACCCCCTCTCTGGTGACTTCTCTGTGTTTTAAGCCACTAATGTGTACATAGCCTTTGACAAGTTTCAAGGTTTTCGTATCAACATCAGCAAGATTGATTGTCACCTGGCCATCATGGTGTGTGAAAAGCACACTACAAAACCTACATCTCTCTGTCTCTTCTGCCTGGGCATAGTGGTGGTTCAGGACTTATCCCAAGATGCTAGCATCACAAGAGAAAGGATGTCCTTATCTCTTTTCCCCCACACTATTTCTTATGCTGAGGAGTTTTCTCAGTCTCAACCAGTTCCCTGTGCTTCCTCTCTCCCTTACTTGGTGGGCTTGCTATCTGCGACTTTGTCTGTAGCCTCCATGGCTACCTTCTGCCTTGAAATATCCCAAGTGCTAGTTCCTCTGGCTCTGCGCCTGACACTGGTACTGCAATCTCCTTTGGTGTCTTCAATGGTGCTTGTTTCTTTCTCTCTGTTTTGCCCTATCTTGTAGACCAGTCCAGGCGGATATTCCCTCCCATACATGAAGATGCTGGGAGGATGGTCCTGATGCCTCAGGATGAGGGCTTCAGGAGGGCAAAGGTGAAGGGTTACTATGGCGATAGCGATGCTCGGGATTCTATAGTCATGGCTGACGGGCCCTCTTGGATTTCCAAATACCTAGGTATCGCGAATGACATAGCATGGCTCATTGTCTTCCTGGTTGTTTTCCCTACCTGAAGTGACTCATCCTATAACCAGCTAATCTATCCATGTCATGAAATTTCCTCCAGTCTTCCACCAGCTTTGTGTGCATGTGTGTGCATGCGGCGATTCAGTCTGCTCCCCACACCCAAACTTTCCTGCTCCTTCACCATGACAACTTCCATTTGCAGCCTGCAGCACTTCAGTGACTACAGCTATCCAAGCTGAGTAACACACGTGACTTTGTGTGGCATCCGCAGCAGCACCCTGTGTTTTTCATCCTTGGCAAACCTATGTCTGTGTCATCTGTATCCACAGGCCTTTAATTGAGAAGCTGCAGGAAGAACAGTGCAAAATGTCCCTCTTGAAATTTACTCTCATAGAGAGTAAAGTTTAATTGGGTGGCACAACTCTGGATCAGGTTCTGCATACCCTTGAGATACCCTGAAAACCTTCTTTTCTCATCATAAAAAAGATGTCCTGGTGACATCTGAAGGTTGTCACCAGTTGCTTAGTTAACCGTCTCTGCAACATTTGCCCATAATTCTTTTCGTTGGGCTAGATAAGGGATTCAGGGCATCATCAAGTCACCCCTGTTGATAGCACTGATTTTGTTTCTCTGTGCAGGCATGTCAGGGCAAGGCACACAGCCCAGGGTACATTATGCTGTCCCCCAGAAGGCCAGGGGCCGCACTCACTCCGAAGATGTCCGTGAGGCACTGAGCAACCTGGACACAGTGCTTCAGGGTGAGTGAGCTTAACCTGGCCTCTGCACGGGACCTTGCTGTGCCTGGGGGGATCCAGGTTTGGGGGGCAGGAGAAAATCAGATCTCCTCCCCTCTTTTTTCTGCTTAATTAAATCAACTTCATTCTTTGGCAGAGGGCCCTCAAGCTGCAGCTTCCCCCTCCCCACAAAAGGAACTGTGATTTGTTAAGGGCGCTAGAAATTTTAGTTGTATATGGTGTAAACTACAATTATTTGAGGGGGAAAGTGCTTCAAATGTATGGTGTGTGCACAGCCTTATTCTTCCACTCAGCTAGCTGCTTTACCTCAGCATCTGACGTCCTTCTAGCCAGATTCTCAATAGGCCTGACTACAAGCCCTTTATTTGATGAGGGGACATTCTGCTTGTTCTCCTGGGACCCGTAAGGAGCTTTCCCCATTTGTGGGCAAGGCCTTTCCCTGCCTTCAGATCCGAACCTGTGATTTTCTGCCTCAGATTCCAGGATGCAGCTGGGTGTTCCTGACACGCCTACGCGCTTAGTTTTCTCTGCCCTGGGGCCTACCTCCCTGAAGGTCAGCTGGCAGGAGCCACAATGCGATAAAGAAGTGCAAGGATACAGCGTACAGTACCAGCTCCTCAACGGAGGTCAGTGAAGGCCCCTCTGCTGATCATGTAGGGCTGAGGGTTGTGTGTGTGTGTGTGTGTGTGTGTTTCATTCATAAGATCATATTATCAGGTGACCAGTGCACAGAGTGTACCTTGGAATTAAAAATCAGAAAGATGTTATTCCCTGCTCAGTGTGAAGAAACAACACACCATTTTCATGCTCCTAGTTTTTTGGCTACAGCCTTCCCCAACTGGCACCCTCCAAATGTTTTAGGACTACAACTCCCATCCTCCTTGACCACTTGCCATGCTGGCTGGGGCTGATGGGAGTTGTAGTCAACAACACCGCTTAGTGTTATTTCTGCCCAGCAAAGAGCACTCAGCTGTATACAGTGGTACCTCGGGTTGCATACACTTCAGGTTACATACGCTTCAGGTTACAGACTCCGCTAACCCAGAAATATTACCTCGGGTTAAGAACTTTGCTTCAGGATGAGAACAGAAATCGTACTCTGGCGGCAGCGGGAGGCCATTAGCTAAAGTGGTGCTTCAGGTTAAGAACAGTTTCAGGTTAAGAACAGACCTCCGGAACGAATTAAGTACTTAACCCAAGGTACCACTGTGTGTGTGTGTGTGTGTGTGTGTGTGTGTGTGTGTGTATAAAAATATGACATCCAATAATCCATTGACGGGACATGCAGTTTAAGAGCCCATCCTGATTTTTTTGTCCTGTGGATGTGCTGCAAGAGCAGACAGTTTGATGTCCCTTTTTTCCTTAGCTACGGGGAGCCTCTTCCGCAGACCGGCTACCTCTCATCTTCATGGTCTTCCCTACACCAGAAAAATTAATGCCTTCGAACAGATCACTCAAAATCTATTATGAGGCACTTGCTTGGCTGGAACAAGGGACAGCATGTAGATTCTGCCTCTGATGAAGAACACTCAGTTCAAAATAAATAGGGCACTTTTGATTCCCAGTCAAAAAAACTGGCAGCACCCATGGCTTTTATTTTTCCATGATGTCATACAGATGAATGGACAGCCCTTCAACAGAGCAGACATGTGTGCATTCATCTTGTACAAAGAACTTTATGTGGGAGGACTCCCACAATTTTCTACATTGAAGTTGCATGCATGGAGTGCATCTTCTGGGTACCAGCCCTCATTAGTGTGACCTCAAGGAGACTGCCTTTCCCGCAGCAGTTATCAGTTTGCCAGTGAAAACTGCAGGTTTTGGTACAGCAGATTGTGATAAGTGACTGTGGTGTCTTCCTGTTCCCTAGGAGAGATCCAGAGACTTACTATTCCCAACCCTCACCAGAACTCCGTAGTGGTGGATGACCTACTGCCCAACCACTCCTATGTCTTCAAAGTGAAGGCGCAAAGTGATGAAGGATGGGGTCCAGAGAGAGAAGGCGTGATAACTATTGAGTCACAAGTGGACCCGCGCAGCCCTCTGAGTCCTGTCCCAGGTAATGTGGCCTTCATGGTTTACTAACCATGATGAAATGAGCTCACTCAGCTATTATGAGTTGCCGGTATGCAAAACTGCCCCTACAGAAATTTTGGTTTTCTTTCACATTGGTTTTGAGCTAAGAAGAATTGTACTTATCATGGGAACTATGCATTATGGTCCTTCACTTTCCAAAAAAGTTAAGGTGTTGTGAGGTTTAGTTTTTTTTTAAATTAGGGACATAAATCAAATGTAAGATTGCACATGTGTCAGTCTTTGCCTGCTCGTCCGCTTTGCTTTCTTCCGTGGGACGGTGACCATTTTTTTTGTTCTTGCGGTTGCAGGCTCACCGTTCACTCTGAGCACTCCCAGTGCCCCGGGGCCTCTGGTGTTCACGGCCCTGAGTCCAGACTCTCTTCAGCTGAGCTGGGACAGACCCCGCCAACCCAATGGGTTAATTCTGGGCTATATGGTCACCTGTGAGATGCTGCATGGTGGAGGTATGTGAAAGTTCTGATTGCAGCAGAAAATGCCGACAATTGAGGAATGGAGAGAGAAATTAATAGATTATGCGGAGTTAGATAGATTGACGGGGAAAATTAGATATTTAAGAGACCAAAGGTTCATAGAGGATTGGGGGAAATTCGTGGATTATCTGGATAATATAAGTGAAGGACGATTAACGCTAGTAGGCTTTAAAAGAGCTCTGTGATATCAGCAAGAATATTGTCAAAAGAGAAATGGTAGAAAGGATTTAAATAATGTCAATAGATAGCAGTATATGCGAATATAATGGAAAGACTACGGAGGATTCGCGGAGAGGCTGAAGGAAGTTCTAAAGAATGAAATCGATGGAAATATGATGTAGACCGTTTAAGTGTTTTTTTGTTATGTTTCAAATGAATAAAAATCATGCATTAAAAAAAAAAAAAGTTCTGATTGGGGGGGAAATGCAGTTGAGTTGTGGAACTCCCACTGCATTTCCTGACTCACAGAAGAGGGCAGCCCCTGCCGGTGCCAGGCTCTGTATGTGCATCAGACGTCTGCAGGGGCTACTGAATTAAGGCTACCGGCATGACAAAGGAGCAGATAAGGTAGATAGGTGCCTCTGATAGGAACTTTTATTACTTATTCTCTAGGTTCTACCTGTTCTTCTTGTTTCTGATCCACAGGGGAACCCAGGAATATCTACGTGGAGGGAGACAACCTAGAGACCACGCTGACAGTACCTTACTTGAGTGAAAATGTTCCATATAAGTTTAAAGTCCAAGCAAAGACCACACAAGGCTTTGGGCCTGAAAGGGAAGGAATTATCACTATTGAATCTCAAGATGCAGGTACGCACCCCCACCCCAGATACAGTAATAACTTAGGTATAATTGGGAGGAAGGACAAGATAGAATTTTTAAAAACAATGTTAAATAAATAATAATCAGTTTGTGCCACATCTGAGCATGGAGAGACTGGTGCAGTCATGAAAATGAATGGGTAGGAAAGAGCATTCCTGTACATAGGCCATGCTGATCAGAGCATTGGAGGTTCTGCTGAGGCCCCTCCATGTAAATTATTGCACAGCAAACAGCTCAAGGGAAGAAACATGAGAGATAAACTTGATGATGTGGCTCCTGTGTGTCTGTGTGTGTTGTGCAGTGTGATGTGCCAATGTGGGGTAATGGTTAGTGTGTCAGACTAGCACCTGGGGGGTGATGAGAGTTTAAATCCCCACTTAGCTGTGAAGCTCACCTGGTAACCTTGGGCCAAACAATGTCTCCTAGCCTAACCTCTACCTCACCAGGTTAATATGTGGATAAATTCAGGGTCTCTAGGAGTACCATGTATCTTGAGCTCCTGAGGGGGAAAGGCTGGGATAATAACTCTACAAACCAAAAGGTATTTGTGTAGGATGAGGTAGATTTTAAAATGCTTGCAACACCAGAGCTGTCATCTCACCTGTCACCTGAATACCCCAGTGTGAACATAAGCAGCCTTATAATTTCCTTTCTGGTTTGGTCAAGGAGGTGGTGCATATGTGTCAGCCTCTCCGGTGCCTTGTATTTAAATTAAAAGGTACAAAGAATTTCCTCTTACTAAGCAGACCCTGAGATACAAGTAAACTAATATACCCTTTCTGGTTCAGGGGCCTTTTCTCAGTTTGGAACACAGCAATTCACCAGAGAGGAGGTCTACAATCTCCCCACAGAATACAGGACCCAAACCAGCATCACTCACTCCCCACTGGATCCTTTATACGCAGGTAAGAAAGAAGCACTGTGGGAATAGGGGCTGGGTTTGGATCTCAACAAATTCTGTGGGGTAACATAAATGGGCAGCAATCCGGGATCCATTTGAGAGCAGGCAAAACCTGCGTTGGAAATGGTTGTAGCTCAGTGGCAAGGAGGAAGTCCCTCGTTCAATCTCTGGCATCTCCAGGCGTGGTGTGTATTGCAGAGAATCCACTCCTGCCAGTCATCTGCGCACAGTACAGGAATAGCTCTGTCTATATTTAAGCCCTATAGAAACACCTAGTTTGTCTTAGTTCATGTGAATGCAGCTAGGACTACCTTCTCAGTACAAAAGAGGCCAAAAAGGATGCCTGTCTGAAATTAACCACATTTAAATCTCATTCCATTCTGACATCAAGTGTTTGCAGAACCTTTACGTGGCAGTTGGGGCAAGCCCTACCATTAGGCAAAGCGGGGCAGGTGCCTCAGGTATCCCCCTTCTCCTTAGCACCTCCTCAGCTAGTACGCTTCCCTCAGGTATGATGATTGTTGTCCCATCAGCGGTGCTGAAGCAAGATTCAACTGCCCTCCCAGTCAGATTCCGGGGGCGGGGGGGCGGGGGGAGTGTCATCTTGTATTTCATCTCAGGTGGCAAAACATCTGCCCAGGTGGCAATTGCAGCTTCAGAATCCCCAGCTTCTGGACCAAAACACACAAGCGTCCCTGTATAAGCCCACACACCACTGAGCGCTGCACCTCTAACCCTGCTAAACAGATTTCGCCTCTACAGGTCTGTTAAGATGGGCACATGTGCACATGTTCACACAGAGTTGCTGGCGCAATCTTTGTTTTGTCCCTCTATTCCAGATGGCATGCTGCTGACCACTCAGCGAGTGGAGAGTGGCGGCACCCTCACCAAGCAGGTCACCAATGAATTTGTCACCAGAACCATGATGTCTAACAGCAGCGGGACATTCTCCAGACAGACAGAGAGGCAGTTCTATGAAGCTTGAGTCAGGAAGCAAACTGCCCAAGGGACACTTGGATTTCAATAGCTGGTGACCTCAAGCAGGCCTGCTCTGTGATCAGTTCCTGGACTGAGGCTCATGGTGCCCACTGCATTGCTTCAACTCTAATGAAAATACTGGATGCTGCTTTGAGATACCCGCGAGTGGAGGCTGCGTGCATTCCAGGTGGCACCCTAAAGACATTCCGAAAAGAGTTTTTTAGCAAGATGCTTGGCTGTGAAGGGCTATTGGTTAGTTCCATTTTGAGTCGAGCTCCTGACTCTTTCCATGCTTTGCTTGGCTGCTTTCCGATATCACACGCTGGAAGATTTAACTACACGCAACTGAATTTGCTTTTTAAATCCCCACCTCTCACCAAACCTTTTTCACTTTTGCTGCTTGTTTCGTTTTGATCTGTTCCTAAGTCATTCTCTCCCCACCCTCCCACCCCATCAACAAATGGCATGCCAGACCTCCAGGGGAGGAATGGAATTGCAACTTTGTCCTCCCCCTTTGTAAGTGCAGCACAGAAGAGGAATTGTCCTTATTCTTCCTACATTGGTGTGTAGACACCCCTGCTGCTTAGGTGTGGTCCTTGTAGGAACTGCCTAGTACCTTAAGTTGCATTGCTTCACCGACAATACAATGCTCCTTAAAATATGATGCACAATCTTACTTAAAATATTATATGACTATTTTTATGTTCTACAAAGGGTCCTTTATCCTAGATGTAATAAGGAGCCAAAATCCAGGTGCTAGTCCTCTGCTCCTTACCATAGAAAATAAATATTTGGCATGGCTTTATAATCCATTAATGCCTTTGCTGGAAGAACCCCCTGGAATGATATCATTTCATATTGAATAACCAAAACATTAACCAAAACAGCATTAAGAGAGTTCCACCTACAGTCCTCCCTCACTCCCCATTTTGGCAGTGGTGGCTCACTGGCCCATATCAGTAGCCCAAGCATAGCATGCTGATTTACATCATTGGACCATTTTGGTGTCTGGACATAGCAAACTTCAGTGATTTCAGATTGCCCTTAGAATCAGGGTTGGAAGGGTAATTAGTCCAGTCCACTGCAATGCTACCCTTCCTGCCTTTTCGCCAGTGGCCAGGATTTAAAGGCAGTGCACGTGCAATTAATCCTTCAGAGCCTGTATAACACAGGCATCACATATTTTTGCACCATGTGCTTTCATTCAGCCACACTGCATTGATACTGTAGTCAACAACACTACAGTACCCACAAGGCAGTGCAACTGTGATGGTGCTACCACTACCTTTTGCTGCATGTGTAGGCACAGCTTGAGCTGTAGAAGCAGTGGCTTTTGCAGAATGACCTGAGGGTATATCAACAGGGGTGGGGGATGGCTACCAGTAGGTAACTAAAGGCAGAATCAAGGTAGGAACTGAATACATGGAATTCTGACTAGAGACAGTTGTAGTATAACCACAGACCTGCCTTTGTTTACACTCACTTCACCTTCCTTAGAAAGGGGTGGGAGTGAAAGCTTTTGGCTTGTTTGTAGGTCTTTATTTATACATATGCAGATTTGACGAAGAAGACAGACAACTCACACAATCTGATTGTACCAACATTTTACTCCTTGCTAAAAAGGCACGAGGAAGCTGGAGAGAAATGACTTGAGCAGGCAAAGTGCTTTGATTCCTATCAGTGTGATGATTTCTCACACTGTGTGTGATTATCATCATTGGAAGAGTATCGACCTAACACCATTATTTGACATTTTGCATGGTTGCTCCCACAATGCTGTGGTTGTCAAACCATGTTCCAGGAAACCTTGTCAGAAGTCTACCCAGGAATTCTTCAGTCATGCAGGCAAGTTCCCCTAAAGGACAGCCAGCTCACTTGATAGTGCCAGTTCTCACACAAGGGAACCAGCATTGCCAGTGTGCACCAAACCAACAACATGCCTCAGAATCTTCTGCAATGTGTTGTGGTTCTATGGAGGATGTATGTTGTTTGCCACAAACTTGTTTGCTCACAAAATTCCCTGAAGGCAGGAAGTTTGTAAACCATTGATTTGTGAGTTTCATCACAGCGAGAACAGGTAGCTGTTGCCCTTCGCTTCTATTTTGGCCAGCCTTGCCCCAGGACCTTAGATAAGTATCTGTGCTAGCGGCAGAGGATCAACTGCAGATAATTTTTTACTTAGCTAAACAAGAGAGAACACAAAAAGAATTCAGGGCTGCTGCAGCATAGTTTTAGAAGCTCAGATAGATGGTGCCTTCAACTTTCTGTCCTAATATACCAAGTCAGGTCCCTTGTAATCTAATGTTGGGTTTTCCTACTGACCCATTCACCGCAACAGGGGAGTTACTAAAGCTCACAGGACCTTCTGCCCCAAAGGGGTTTCTTTTCATGGGATGCTAGAGAACTCAGCCAATAAAATGTGCTATTTCGTGGCCTTTGTATTCAGACCCAAGCAGAGTGTGTTATTAGAAATGGCTGTATCTCCAGTTCTTGCAAAGTCACTTTGGTCACAGGCTCTTGAAGCTTCTTACGAGTTCTTTTCACTAAGAGAGTGCCACAGGCTTTAATATTAACCAAAGAGCCCATTAAAGGTGTTTGATGGGCCAGATTTCAGCAGCATAGCAGTTTTGAAAGGGATTGTATGCTTTCACTCACCTAACAGAAGAACCACAATAGAATGTAAATTACATTTCATAGCCAAATTATGGCTTGCAGGGGTTGGTGGCATTTAATACATATGCAGTGTTTTGACAACTGGCATTCAGGACCAGATGGCTTTCTATTGCACTTATTAAACATTTTTTCTCTACGATCGCAGAAGCCTTTTTATTTCCAAGTCTGTCTGATGTGAAAGCGGCTAGCAGCTGTGGGTGTTAATGAGAGAGTAGGGCTGCACTCCTATATAAAATTAGGCAGGCCTACACACATTAACTTCAATAGGATCAGGCTCAAGAAGCAAAATATTGCATAAAATTCTAGCATAGTTAAAAAACAAAAACAAAAAAACCCAGTTAAATGCTGAAAAGGTCTAAGAATGGAAGACTTGAGCCAAAGGGCACAGGTTTAAAAGCTAATTTGATAACAACCTATAAAAATCACAGCCCACTGGGAACGGTCACATTTTTGCTTCGGGGGGGGGGGACCCTCCCCAGGTTTTGCAACTGCAATACATATTATAGATTCATTACAAAAAGATTCTGACAGTCCCACCTACATGTCCTTGATGTGAAGTTCTGATGCAGCTTAAATGACAGTGGATGTTTTTGGAATCATAAGGGATAGTGCTATCGCAGGAGAGGGAACTGGCCATAGATGGAATGGCATTGCATACTGCTGTTCCCAGTCCTACGGACAGCCAAAGCAGCTGAACTGTGCTGTGTGACAGGGTTATTTGTATCAGTTCTCCAGTATCACTATAGAATGCAGCAAGTTATAGAACCCACAAAGTTCTAAAAGTGTAATTAGCCTGGGCACTTTTACTGTACAGTAGTACCTTGGCTGACGAATGACTTGCGACTCAAACGTTTTGGCTTCCGAACACCGCAAACCCAGAAGTGAGTGTTCTGGTTTGCGAACGTTCTTTGGAGCCTGACCGTCTGGTGCAGCTTCTGATTGGCTGCAGGAGCTTTCTGTTTCTGAATGTTTTGGAAGTAGAACTGACTTCCGGAACGGATTCTGTTTGACTTCTGAGGTACCACTATTTTGAAAGCAGAACAGCCACAGAGCCTCCATCCAGTTAGTGGGGCTTAATTCTGAGAAGACATGCAGAGGATTGCAGAGTTTCTAATAATTAAGGTAGCTCATCCTTGTAGTAAAATCGCAGGTAACTACAAGAAAAACACATAATCATAAATTTCCTCATGCAACACTGGATTCCATCTGTGGTATTTAGGTTGGAAGATGAATAACTTGCCACATTGTGAAGTGTAAATGAAGGACTCTTGTTCTTGAATCTTCTTATATTACTTTAGTTTACAAAGAAGAGGCTGAACGAACTACCTACCAACCAACCAACCAACCATCAGGGAAATTCAGTTAATCATACTATTTGTTTTATGTCAGGAACCAGAAGTAGAGGAAGGACGGTGGCTGTATTGACTATCCTCAACTCTTCTCCAACACAAAACAGCACAGCAAAATAGGCCTGTTCTGGCCTCACATGAAGAACAGATTCCCTGCCACAAATTGTAATGTAAAACAGTCAGGAGAAGAGACTTATGTTCAGTAGAGCAGACTGGAAGGTTCTATATGTAAAAACCAGATTTAAAAGAGAGAGAGAGAAGAAAGAGTTCAAGTTTTTATCAGAATTTGGAAGTCTTTGACTGGAGTCTCAAGCACATGGATCAGGGAAGCCGGCCCTGACCTTTTGCAGTGCTCTGTGTCGTTTGTACCAGAGCAACAGAAAACCCTTGCTGTGTCAGGGTTGGGATTGGGAGTTGGATCATTGCAGAGGATATACTCTGGCTCCATCGGAAGGCTGTGTCAAATAGAAGGTGGCTGTCCTGCTGTATTTTTCCTAATTGATAAAAAAAAAAGGTCAGGAATTGCAACTGTCTGAAATAAGCAGTGAGTACAAAATACGTCAAAACAAAAAGTCCTCGAGGGCGGATGGTGGTATGGAACTGTATAATGATGCAATTCCATACCTTTTCATAAGACTACAGCATAGCCAAAAGGCAGTTGTATGTTTTTGGCCACAGAAGTGCCCTTATGGCAAAGAAAGAAGGGGTAGGCTAGAGGCCAAATTTTAACAAAAAATTAATAAATGTGCAGATGAGGGGTGATTGCCCAACTCTTGCAGAGCACTAGGTATAGCCCTATTTTGGGGGAGAGGACAAAATGGCACACACACAAACTAACCAGACTAGCAATTGAACCTTACATCAACACTAGTGAAAGGTCAGCATCCTCTACCATCCCAGAATATAGCATGCCAACTTAGGGGACACCACCATCTACCTGACACAAGACACCTCAACCTGTCTAATGGTAGGGCCGGCCCTACACACAAAGTGATTTCCAGTATTTAAGCTCAGCCAAAGGGGGAAAGGTGCTTTAAGAGAAACAACTGTGGGAAGATTGGCACTATTCACCAGCATATTCCACCCCTTAAAAACAAATTAAGTTCCATATATTTTTTCTTTTTTTTTTTTAACGTTAAAGGCACACACCACCCTATATTTGGTGCAGTTCTGTCTTTTTCAATACATGACAACCATCGCAATTACTTTTGACTATATATGGAATGCAATGCTAAGAAGCTTCTCTCTCTCATTATGTTGTGCTTAACTGTGGAACCGACACAACTGCAAGGGTAACTGCAGTCCAGCTCAAAGGTACTCCCAGGTCAGATCAAAGATAGGCAGAAAATACAGTGGGCGCTCGGATTGCAAACATGATCTGTGCAGGAGGCATGTTCGCAACCCGCAGTGCCGTGTCTGCGCATGCGTGCATTGCGATTCAGCGCTTGTGCGCATGAGCAACAGCTGAAACCCCAAAAGTAACCCGTTCCAATACTTCTGGCTTTTGGCAGATCCGTAACCCGAAAAAACGCAACCTGAAGCATCTGTAACCCGAGGTATGACTGTACAGATGAGGCTTAGCATACTACAGGCTTCAGGAAGCACTTGTCTGTATTTTGTAGGTAAGGGCAGAGCAGCACAGGGATCTGTTGGCAGATCTCCAGGTAACATGAAATACATCTGAAGGGTCCAAATGGTTTACTAACAGCGACAACAAAGAGCTCTCCTGCCCCTAGATTAGACGGCTGAACTGCTTACAGGAAAACGAAGCAGGTTGTTGTTGTTTTTCCAGTGAATTCTATGTCAGTCCCACTGAGACATTGTTTTGCATGCCTGGCTGGGAGATCCCAGCGTTCTAGGAGCTCTGATCAGCCTGAAGACTGCCCACCCCATTGTGATAAACACTGTTCTGTGTCTATGTCACATACCTTGATATGCTTCTGGACTTTTTCTGCTACGCCAGATTCAAGCAGAGTAACAGTACAGCCTCCGAATCCCCCACCAGTCATTCTGCTGCCGTAAACTCCAGGGATCTCCAAAGCAAAAGACACCAGTTCATCTAATTCTGGGCAACTGACGTCATAGTCATCTCTGCAGGGGAAAACAGTGAGTCAGCCCCCCCCCCCAGATGTGAAGGCTATTATTGCCAAACAAAAGCGGGGGGTGGTTGTTGGAACCTGGACGGACATCCGTGGGCAGCATTCTTCCAAAGAATTACTGAAATAAGTTGGGGGGGGGGCAAATACAGGTCATCCTTCAAAAATGGTTTAAAAATGACAAGCTGGGCAGGAAGCTAAACTATGATGTCACAGGCGCTGTTCAATAGGTGCTTGTTAATACCTGGATTACATGGTAGGCAACTCTCCAAATCAGAGCCCTTTTCCCCATGTTATGTGACTGCGAGCCTCGGTTTGCTATGATGTGTTTGCTATGTTGTCTACAGGCTATGGCTACTCTTTGCTCCATATACAATACAGGTGTCTGATGGTGGAAGTGTTGTATTGGGGGAGGGAAGTACACAAAAAACTTCTTAGGAGTATACTGAAACAAGGTTCTGCATGAAGCGACAATCCAACGTAGTTTACGTACAGGAAAAAAATGCAATATCCTCCAGAAGTATTCTATTGACAGATGGATCCTGAATCAATTATCTGGTATGGCCTTGAGATGTAGAGGCTTTTCCCAGGCCAGCCGGTGAGCTTCATGGCTCAGGAGGGTTTCAGAATCAGGTTTCACAACACTACAGTCATTATACTTAGTCGCAGTGTTAACACTGCTTCGCACACAGAAAAATTCCTACACAGAAGTCCCTTCCACATAGGACCACTCTACACACATTTACATCACTGAGCATGCATGTGCCAGGTAGCTGGAGTCATTTGTGGCTTGTAGGCATGTGTGTGCAATGCGAAATTGCATGTATGCAGGGCAGACCTACATGCTGAAATCTAGGATCATGTTTAAAATGACTCTTATCCTGTAATTTTTATTTTTGAAAAATCAAGAATACCAAAACGAAACTAAGAACAGCCCTGCTGCATCAAGCCCAAGGCACTCTGTTATCACAGTGGTCAACCAGGGAAACCCACAAGAGAACCTGTGCACAACGGGGTGGGGGGTGGGGAATCCTTTGTGTAATCTTCTGGGTAACAGCCTACCGCAAGGAATTGTGACTCTCCACCATCAGTTGCCCAAATCTCTTATAGTCCTTGGACTGCAGTGCCTCTGAAGCTCGGGAGGTGCGTTCGATTTCCCCAATGACATGTCTGGCTCGCCGGTACACCAACTCACTTAGCAAGGCCTTAGAAGCTGCAAAAAATGAAAAACGAGGAGGGGAAAAATATCAATTTTCAGACAGGTAGGCTAGGTTGGAGAATTAGAAGCAAAGTTTCAGACCAGTCAATGCTTCAGCAAAAGCAGCACGGAAATTAACACTGTTAATAAGCAATCTGTATTACATTTGGGATGAAGAAAAATCTTTAAAAAGTGAGGTGCTGATGGGTTTTCTGTTCATGGCAATGTGACTCATAATCATATGATCCTAGAAAACCCTGGAAAAGGCAAGAAGAGATGCAGTACAATAAACTCTGGTTTCATGCAATGTTTGAAAAGATAACGGAAAAGTTCCTTTTAGCCAGGGAACAAAGCAAATAAGCATTTTCTATGCGGACTTGCTAGGTATATAACGCATATAAACTACAAAGATATGAGTAGACCACCCCCAACAAAATATCTGAGAATGTGGAGCATTTGAAAACCACCATCCTCTCTTTTTTTGAGAATATTTTAGTA